CCCTTATACAAACTCAAGTAACGAACAGTAGTATAAACAATACAAACAATTAAACAGAGCATAAAACGGACCCCTGTAAATTCCAGAGGTGGGCTTAAAAGCCTAGAAGTAGTAAGTATTCCCTGTTGGTTTGATCACATTTTATTGTTTAACACAAAAGGATCAGAAACAAGTTCTTACAACGTACAAGTTCTTTTCCTGGTGTTAGTGAAGTTGATACAGTTAGTGCAATTGCCATCAGTTATAATAACATAATAAATAATATTGGCAAGTGACATAAATAAATTCAAATGTTAATTAAATCTTCCAGATTCATTCATGGATTTGTGAACTGTTGAAAAAAAAAGTCATATCATAAGACAGAGAATCAGTACAGCATAAAAACAGATGTATGTCTATTAAGATTCCCTGTTGATTGGTCACACTTTCGATGGGAGATTTCTCAATGTTGAAAAATTATCAATTGATTTGTTTTGAATTTATTTGTTCTGTTTTCATTTAAATGAAATAGAATGCGTTTTTTAATAGTAACATCAGTTTGCCTATTTCTCTGTCGCTGAAAACATAATTCTTTCCCAATATCTCCATATTGTTTCCAGAACATTGTCTCCATGGCATTGTGAATTTATGTAACGTGTTCTATTAATTAAGTATATATATCACCGTTCCATAAAAATGCCTATTTCGTTGTTTATTTACTACATCATATACATATTATAAATAAAATTAAATGATGAAATCAATTACTATTCTGGAGTCTAGAAATTATAAAATAGTCTCAGATGACTTGCTGTATTTTCTTATTTGTTACGAAGTTTGAAAGTCAAATGTTACCTCAATCAAAATTACCGGCACGCATAATATAGGCCTACTAATCAAGCGGACAGGGTTTCTCATTTAATGTATTAAAAGTAATGCACAATTATTTACGACGTGCTAATTATTAGATTGAACTTTTAATTTTATGTAAAAAAAATTACGTCTTCCACAGTGTTATGGCGCCATTTTGAAATGCATTGTCTCCGCATACATATATGTTTGTGTTTATGTTATAATGTGGCAAAAGGAGTTAAAACAAAGTTACTTTTTTTTTAATGTAATTTAATATAATATATTTTTCAAGTGGACTGTCTATTAATTAATGTATATATATGTAAACACGGATTATCACTTTCCCCACGAAAGGTGTTAATTTCAATAACTTGTGGCCGGATTAATAATGTTAATTATGTTTATGCCTGTTCGGAATATCAGTATCCACTACACAGATTTTTTAAAATGAATTTGTTAAAATATTTTTCATAATTTACCGGAGTACTCAGAGTCCGGATTAGACAAATTTTACTGTATATATCAATATTCGAAATAATGAGTTTGATCTACCAGATAAGGTAAAATATTTTTCATTATTTACCGGTAAACAAGGGTTACCTACTCCTCCATGGCATCTGATCCCATCTCTGAAATTTCAAGGGGTCTTTGTTTTATGTCTTCTCTTAACAATTTGTTAATGTTTTTAGTGCAATTTTATTACTTATATTTGTTATGCTTTTTTAGACCGATAAAACCGAGATGCTGATACAAAAAGATCCTTCAATGTCCAATGGCTCTGAATGCCAAGTATAGGTCAGAATTTCTGGTCCTCCAGTGGCAAGAGGTGGCGTCTCAATAGAAGGGAAAATTTCTAAGATACTTTAAATATAATAGACATTTTTTTAGGTGAAATACTGATGGGATTATAGGAATTAAATATGCCAAAATTTTGCGTTTTTATAACAGTGTCTGCTGTAAGTAAAATTTGTAATCTTCAGCTATTGTTTGATGCTGTTATATATGTATATTATTTTTATCATTTATTCCAAGCTCTCTGATTGGCTCAAACTTGATCACATGATTAAGTATATAACCGCATAAAGACTTGAGTTACTATCTATAGAATCTGAAATGCATATCGACTTGATGTTTCTTAAAATGGAGATAATTTTTTATACAAACAAAAATAGTACTGATTTCAGAGTTATAGATAACACAGAATAGGACTTGTTGTTTCTGAAAAAAAATATATTTTCTTCAACTTGTATTAATATTTCTTCATGTTCCGTAATTGATGAGACGTAACAATGCCTTGCATGAAGCCTTGAATTAGGATCTACTTTATATTAAAACATATTGGATATGTTTGTCAAAAATTGATACAAAACATAATCAAATAGATTATTTTGATCTCTATATATATAGTCTCTAAGTGTTATAGAGAGAAAACTTGCGCCTAGTTCCCATTATTTTCACATTTTGTTTTGTCAATCTATGTAAAAAATAATATAACAAATGTAGCCCTTTAATTCGGTCAATCCATAGATATATCGACTTCACAAAAAAGCTTTTCTGCGAAGTCGATATATCTATGGATCGACTTCATCAAAGGGATATATTTATATAATATCGCAGAAGAGGTATTTTAGATTATCTATATTTTTTGTAGAACAGCTTTTCAGAGTATTATCTATTTGGCCCATCGATCAAAAGATGGCCAATTCTTGCAACTAACTTGGAAGACAAAAGATATAGAACATAGTTCAGGTCAGGGCCTAATTGTGGTATGTCATTTGGTACAAAATATCGAACTGTTGACTAATTAAGGCACTAATCGTGTCCAGATTAATGTATACACGGTCTACGACTATCTAAGACCTTGTTTTACAACCCCACTGATCCCTCTTAAGGCATTTATCACTAGCGGCCATGAACAGACAAGAATCCTTTCAGTAACAGTTACTTTACTCAGATAATTTTTAAAATTCATCAAGGTTTAAGAACATTTTGATAATTTACGTCCGATTTACCATGTAAGTAGGTTATATTGTTTAAGGGTCACATGCAAAATTTTACAAATAAAACAACAGGGTTGCAATTGCACTTAAGACATTGGCATCCTGTGCCTCAAAGACTTATGAGACACTGAAAATGTGAATTAGGTTAACTTTAAAGTAATGTTTCTTTGCCCTCTCCCAACTAAAAATGAGAGAAATGGGTCGGAAGTGCGAGAAATTTTCTTTCTCAGAAAATTTCGATTTCATTGGTAAAGTTTTAAAACCTATTTTCAAGAATACATTTTTTCTGCTTCCTTAAGAGGGCAAACAAACATTCTCTTTTTTAAAGATGGTCTTATAAGAAAAGTATCAATTGTTTTTTCACAATTTTTAAACCCTTAGTTACAGTGTACCTCAGGACTCATTTAAAACACCAGCATGCATCCTTCTTGGTACATAATGTTATTTATTTAAAAAGCTTAACATCAATTTCACTGAATCTATGAAACTATTGTAGTTTGCTTCTTAGATTTAGGCTTCTTAATATTAAATCATAGTGCAAATCAACATTGTAAAAAAAATCATCCTCCACAACATTTTCTAAACAATATTTACAGGTTTAACTGGCATTTGCTTCTAAGATCTCTATATTGCACAAGTTTAACACATTTGCTAGTATACAGTCTACATACATATTTGTGTTTGCATTATTACAATCGCTATGCAGCTTTCTATACCTTTTTAATGTAAATCAAATAGTAATTTCTTGATATACGTATGCACCGACATGTTATTTGTAACAACAATACTACTTAATACGGTTACTAACGTTTTCCTCCCAAGAGCGTTGACAAGTACATTCATGAATAAATATTCGTAATCGACCTTTCACCATTTACATCTTTCAAATAAATTGTTGGAATTGCCTCACTTTTTCATTTTTAAAATGTAGTAACTTGCCCTTATAGAAAATAAACACTGTACGCTATTAAATTTGTTGACTCCAAAATATTAAACTGTTAGTACTGGATATTTTCTAGCATTTTGTTAGATTACAAATAAACATAAAATTTTATGGCAGTAGGCAGAAAAGTAATCCTTCTTTTCATAAAGTTGAGGAGTTCTTCAGAAATTAAATATTATGATTAAACACTGAAAGTTATTAACTGCAGAAGACGAGACTGGAAACAGAAATTTACCTTGTCGTACGCCAGTGCTGCTCTTAAAACAAATAAACACAATCATTAATATTAACTTTTGTTATTTCGCCATTCTCCATTACAAAACATACAATATACATTTAAAAGATATACTAATTTATCAGATTTCTATTTCAACTTTTAAACTGTCCATAATTTCAGTAAATAAGTAATAATTACCTCTGCCTATATGTCAATTTAAAATGAGTTAACATCTTTAATAGCGATGTAACTTCAAAGCAATTGTATTGAATCATTTCATTATTTCTTAAATTAATCTTATTTGCTGCTTATTTTTCCATTCAGGATTTCTTTGTCCTGAACTTTATTTTAAATTATCAATGGACTGTGTTTATTCGATAATACATGTACTCTTATCTAAAAGTATAAAATCTGGAGAGAGAAAAAATATTTAACAATAAATTCTTCGCACTGAGACTTGTTGGGTATTTATTGCATATAATTTTCTTGTAACTTTCAACATATTAAGTACCTTTCTTGACAGTTCAACAAAGAACAGTATATCATATTACATCACACAGACGCGACTGAGACACTTGTTCATTATCTTCATATTTCATAGTTAAAGTTTTGACAATCGGTATCATTGTAAATGACCCAATCTGCAATAATATTGTATTTGATTTTTTTTTTATCTCTAAAAAGAGATTCAGGGGTATTTTCTTAAAATGAAAAAATAAATGAATATGTATCTTTTGTTTCAACTAATATGTTGAAATTTGGGCCTTGAAATATTTCAAGAATACTTTTTATCCTTCGTGAAGTGTCATTTTTGAGACACATAAAGTTACCGCCTAAGGGAAAGGAGATTGCATGATTTTTTTTGTATTGTATGTAACTCGACTAATGTGTCTTCGGTTAGACCCATCAATAATGAATATAACAAGTCATGCATTGTTTCTTATTCTAAGCGTCGGAGTGGCCACTGCTTTATAACCAGCGTTCACCTCCGGAGAATCATCAGTGTTGCATTGGACGTCTCGCTAGCAGGTGTTGTAGGAACAAGACAAGGAGTTATTTTATATCCGTGTCTATTTACACTAAACAGGTTTGTGTTATATTTTTCAACCTTATCTAATCCAGTGGATTAATTACTTCTGAAATGGAAGTTTGATACACCTTTTATTTTAATTATTGTTGTACCAATGTCTTACAGGAAATTATTGCATGTGTCATGTATTATAAACTTATCTGGAATCGTGTTCTTCTTTAGAATCAAATCAATTTTAGTCGGATTCTTATACTTTGACACATATTAATTTTTAACGTTTTTCTTGATTTTTTATCTCTTCGATTAAAAATAATCAAATTGGCTTTATTTGTAGATTTTTAGCATGTTGCAATTGTTTATTAATTAAGGTTAAAAACTTAATTCTTGCTGGTCAAATACCAAGTTTTGTTCAAATTTAATCGATTTTATTTTAATTTCTGAAAATGAATCAATTCCATACAATTTCTCCATTTTAAAGCATTCTTAAGAAATTTAATAATTCTTCAATTTGTGTGCCTTTAGATATTCTTACTTTTACTTTCAATTTTAATTCGTTTACTGATGGCAAGAAAAAAGTGATTGCTTTTCCTTTGATGCATATGCATCTAAGTTATGTTTGAAAAAAAGTTTTTATATGAGGAAAGCAATATAACTAAAGTAAAGAAACACCTCATAAGTATTATGAATTTATCCACTTCAGCTAGGTAATGCTCGAAGTAAATATTAATTAATCAACTTTATTATGTTCCAGAACGTGTGGACTATCTCTTCATTAATTATAAGCTTGCCTTTTATCTTGTTGACAATGTTTTCATTAATGCATTAATTTTCCCATTAGTTTCCTTTGTGAATATCAAGTAAATTAATTGCAGTCCGTCTACGCCGTTTCTTAGGGTTTTTAAGGGATGTTTGTCATTGAAGACATCTTGGGCACATAAAAAATTATATTCTTAGGCTTACGCTTACTTACTGCAGGTGGTTTAAGTAGTTGTTTTCTATGGTTTTAAAAGTTTTTTCTCCTCTTCATTTGTAAATTTTGAATTCACTAGATGGTGGTAAATGCAAAATTCACATGTTGTAAAATATGCATTTATCTCAATCTAGCAAACTGAAAATTTTAAAATTTCTATGTGGTGGTAAATGCAAAATCTACAAGTTTTGAATTTCGCCTTAGCCTCCACCTAGCAAATAAAAAATTTAGAGCATTGTATAAATCGCTTTTTTGCTTCCGATTTTTCGTACGAAGGCACTTAGAGTATCCCTTGCTAGTGGATTCTGCAAAATAGGAATTTGTGATCGCCGTCTAGTTTTTTTTCTTATTTGTATTATCTCTATTACAGAAGTCATAATGAAGTCCTGTTTGGCCATCGCTTTCGTTGTCTCCCTTGCCGTAATGCAGGTTACATCACAAGGTATGTGTTTTGTTTTAATTACCTGGTGAGGGTTCGTCTTATATATCAAATATATATTTTCTAAATGATTGCATGAATACAGGACGAAAGAAATATAAGTAGAAAATACTTTAAAAAGCTTCGTTAATCTTACATTTAAAAAAAAAAATCTTTTTACTTATGTTCTTTCGTCTTTTAGCTAGAAAATAATGGGTGAAGGTTATTTCCCTGTCTAACACCAAAAAACATAAATTGTATTACCCAATGTGTAATAATGCATTGACTTTTTAAAAAGCTTAATAAATGGCAAAATGAATTGTACTACAATGCCTGACATATGTAAATCCAGCTTTGCGTGGACGCAGCGACCTTTTTTCTATATTGTTTTATGGGTTATTGCTTATCGCAAAGGTATATTTTCTCTATCTGCCTCCCAGTTATCGCAATGCTGTTTCAGCTTCTTGCTTTAAATATGCGTATATAAACACGTAATATGTCGTAACGGCCAACTAAATGAGAAAAACAATCAAATTAACCCCTGAAGGAAAATATTATTTGATTGCTGTCCGGGACCCTTTGTTTATTGTGAACAATGTTAGCTTCTTCGGGTCATAAAACGTCAACCGACTCCGGTTCCATGTGTCAGTTAATGTTTTTGACTGTCCTCGTCAATCTCGAACCATGGCGAGATCTTCTAGGGCCCGGATTTATGGCCCCCATACAGCGCATTGATGGCATAAAACCATAGTTAATCAATCTCATGTCACTTTGAGTGATAGTCGAATCAGTTGGGTCTTTTCTTTTTTTATATATTTCTTCTTATTTTTAGGTCATCCTTTTTTTCTTTCTGGTAATTTTTTGGAGACATGGAATAAATTGTATAGGATTAAAAATATCAATTTATAATACGAAATGAATTTAAATATTTTACCTTCATTGTAAAGAACTTTATTGATTTCTTTGAAAATCGTGTTTCTTTTCTGACGGATGAAGACTTTTGCTTTTACCGGAGCAGTTGGCCGATGAATTCATTTGCTTTGCTGAAAAAAAAAAGTTGTATGAGCTTTATTCAAGTATACATCGCTATGCTTCAATGGCTTTTTTATATTCAACAGCTATAGGCACTTTGCTATGGTTAAATCTATAAATAATTTTGTTATATTTAAATTGGAAAAGAAAAATAATTAATTTTTAATTTGAAGAACTATTTTAATATTTTTTCTAAAGTCCCTAACATTAACATGATTAAGCCATTTTTTTTCTTTAAATAATAAACTATATCCTGTTGGCAGGTTTTAATGATTTGGGACGACTACTAGCTATGGACAGAATGGGAGTGGATATTCCCGATTCTGTTTTAAGATACCACATGTTAAGGGGCTTTGGGTTTCCAAGTCAGTCTTCTAGTGCAAGCGTTCCGATGACGTCGCTCGGTCCTCAAAACACTCAAAGAATCCTGAATATGCTCCGAGGGAGGAATTTTAATTTAGGACAAACAACGCCTAGCCCCGTTTCCAGCCGTTCTGCTCAAGTTGACCTGTCTTCTTTCCTTTCGAATCTCTCTTCAAATAGGAACACAAATAAACAGTCACCTACCAATTTTCAAGGCTTCAATCCGCTGATTATGGCACACATGTTGGAGAATTTTATTTGAGCGAGACCGCCGTGTAATATTTTTTCATGAATAGTTTTTTTTATCCTATTTAATCAATTATAATTCCCTAAACACCTTTTAACCATTTTTGTAAAACGAACTAAATTGTTCTCATTAATCAGATTTGAATGCATGTATACATGTATATACCTTTAACGTCACAAAAATATGTCAATAATTTAGACACAGCATGACATTCTAACGGGATAGAAAATTAAAAAAAAAACGATATTCTCGATTATATACATTGAATTCAGTTCTTAAAATAGACACGGACCTTTTAAACATGCGCGTCTTATATGCAGTTTCCTGTTTATTAGGTACACGAGCGGTCTCAAGGCGCAGGGCCGAACAGGCAATATCCTCCAAGCGAGCATCTATAAATAGACCAATGTCTAATGTACCATTCTGGGCCCTCCATAACGAAAATATGATGGAGTACTTTATGTTCCAACAAATGTTTCACGGGGCTCCCTTTGGCAACCAGCAGCAACAGCCGAATTTTAACTTTGCAAATTATTATTTGATGGACATGTTCATGTGAACTTTGCATTATGGCCATTGAGTTGACATTTTACCTATATTTAACAATCATTTTTTTGTTTAATTATACTTTGACATTTCTTAATTAAAGGTGAAGTTCTGATTGAGTTTGGTTTTTGGTGCGGGCTTTTATTCCATCTTTTATTATTTTTTTTTTCAAAATATGGATAAGGTTTAAAACATTTTGGAATGACCTTGGGATATGGCAGCAACAATTTCTCCTTACATTCATAATTCAGATTTTTAATGAAAACACGTTTCCTTTGAAAATTATAATCATTCGTTTTTAATCTTCCCAAAAATTTCTAGAAAAAAGTCATTTCAAAAGTTTATCTATTCTAAAAACGATCCTTACAGGTGCTCAGAATGAAAATGCCGCGCAAGCGCAGAAGGCTTCTTCCCAGGATCCCATGGGTCAACTTTTTCCGTTGATGGCGCTTGGGGGCATGAATGACAAATTTCTCTCCAGTTATTTCATGCTTAACATGCTTGGCGGACAGAACAATGTGATGCGCGGTGGTCTTAACGGAATAAACCCACTCTTTTTGGGCCCGATGTTTGGCATGGAGATGGGATTATTCTGAATGCGTTTAAGACTGTTTATATCCCTTCTTTTGAACTCATTATCTGTCATTGCTCTCATCATCAATGTCATCAGCATCATCATTCGTGCCATCTTCATACAAACATTTTATTTATTATTGTGTGTGTTCTGTGACGTATTAGCTTGTGCTATTCCGCTTATATCTTAAGAAATAAATGTTGTTTACATGATATCATAATCGCTTGTCTTTTCATTTTTCACATCTCTGGCATTTCAGAGCATTGCATGCCTTGTACTTTTATAACTGTTCGATATTTCGATGCATATCACTGCATGATGGTTATCAATCTCTCTTGCATTTTAAAGCATAACTTTATCATTTATCTTCAGTTTTATTTTTCATCATGAAAATACTTGTGACTCCTAGAAAAAAATTCATCGTCGTTAAATTAATTTTTTTTCTGTTTTAATTCTTAACAAGCATTATCAAAATTATTCTAATAAAATCCCATTGCACGCCATTGCTTAGCTTTTGCACTCAGCACTTTTGTTTTATTCGCCTGTAATTTACAGCTGCCGCCGGAACTAAGCCCGCCGATGGTTCAGCTGCTACAGCCGCCGCACAGAGCGCCAGAAACAGGATGCTCCTTCAGAGACTTAGCCGTGCCAGGTCCGGTTCCAGTGCAGGAGGACTCATGGGTGGCATGAACAACCTTCTGCCATTCATGATGCTCAGCGGTGCCGGTGGTGATTCCATGAGAAACCTTATGATGTTGAAAATGTTCACTGGTGGTGCTGGTGCAGGTGGCGCTGCCCAAGGAGGCATGATGGGAAATATGCTCCCTCTTATGATCCTGTCAGAGGGTGGTCTTTCCTTCTAAGGAATTAACTTCCGTTTATTAAAAAAAGGACTTTTTCCGGTAAAGGAAAGAAATGTGTTTTGAGCTTGGACTCAAGATAGATGTACATAATTCTGTGTAAAACATTTTGTGTGTGCTTGGTATAGTCCAATTCATGTTCATCCTGCTTCTCGAAAAATACAAAAGAACATTCCATTTCATCATCATAAGTACTATCATCAATCCAAACTTATAACCGTTCTATCTATTTATTGCCACATGCAATGATCCACATACGGCGCGGGTTGTTTAACTGGAGTGAAATATTGTGCATTATCATGAATATTCATTAAAATAACCAGTACATGCTGCGTTTCTGAATAAAATCGTTATTTTAATAATTTTTGTCGTTCATTCTTCTTCATCTAAGTTGTTGAGAGAAAAGTATGAGCAAAAAACTCATAATTACAGAGTACTAAGTATCTTACCTCAAAGAAAAGTACTTAAGTATATTATAAAGAAGCCTATGATGGTTTTTCTCAGTTTTGTCTTCAATTTAACTGAAACTTGAACAAAACTTATGGATGGTATTGAATACTACAAAGAGTTATGCCTGCCATTTTTTTCAACACACAAAAGGCTACTTGGATATCAGTAAAAGTGTTTTAAGAACTGGTGTATTTGTAGAAAAATGGAAAGACAAATAACAAGATTCGTAACTCTTAGTTGTAGAAAACTTAGATATACAAAGAATTAACAAGTCGTTGAAAAAGATGTCTAGATAGAATACTAACAAGTGGAAAATTAATTCTCATCTCTGAACAAATGTTTCGCACATGTTTAACAAGAATTTAACCAGGGATCAATAACATTATGTCCAAACTTACTGACACTATACATTTTTAAGGTTGTTTATTATAAATGTTTTCACATGTTACACTTTTTTTTAAAATGCTTCAAGACTTACAATCCTTAGATCATATCAATCATATCAGTTCTGAATCAAATTTTAATAGATTAATTTTTATTGTCACAAATTTTTCTCTTTATTCTAATTGATGATTTAATGTGTCTAAAATAGAAACAGAAAAAAAAATATTTTCGGAAAAATATCTCATTCAATATTTTCTATAGTGTCTCTTACAATATTCTAATAAAACAAATTATTTCAAGTGGCAAGCTTTATCTATGTAAATATTCTTACATTATTAGTACTAAGTATTACCTTCTTTTACAACAATTATTCTTCACTATTGGAAACCATTTTTCATTCAATCTAAACTGAATAAATTGCATTGGCTGTTCAAAAATTACTTTGAAAATCATTTTTTTAAAGATACAAATCGAATCACAATGCTTCTTTTTTTCCATTCCTATTACATATAGATAAGAAAATAAAAAATTATTTTGAAAATTTAAAGAGCAATATTAATTCTTATTATGAGGAACGTACTACAGTAATTGTAATTGAAAGTTATCATAAGACATAAGTATTTTTTTTCTAATAATGATTTTAAATGAAATTTTCAAAATATGTTTTGAAGACATCCAGAATATCTTCAAATATTAAATTTAAAGAAAGAAATAAACGGAAATGATAAATACATCATACACAGTTCATAACATATGATCTTTGCCAATGGTCACAATGTTTGTAACAAAAAAGAGGAAGAATACGAAGTGACAATGGAATTTTTTTCATGATAGATAAAACGAACAAACTACTGTCACAAATTTCAAAAATAGCAACTTAAGTGATGTTTTAATTTTTATTCAATGAAATTTAAAGTGATGAAAAGTTGCATAGATTAATAGCGATGGCTGCAGGAAGGCTGAATTTTGAAAATCATGGAAAGATTACATTTTCTTAGTACAATTCTTAGTTATCCTTGGACAGTATGGCGAGTTATTCTCGACGTACATAATTAGCGTTTTAAAATTTACATATGTAAAGCTAAAACTTTCAGTTACTATTGAAATATACATGGGATAGAAAGTCGGGCGAATGTCAACGAGTGAAACAAATATCTAATAACAGCGTCTCGTACGACAAAGAGGTGGGGCTTAAGTCTTCTCATCATTGTCAACAACAATTTTCAGTTCCTGTTGTAATCAATTTCTTAATCAATGAGAATCTATTCGCCATTTGAAAGACGCTAATTATGTAGCGCAGATAATACCACGCCTTACTGAGAGTCCAAGGATGACAGAGAATTGTACTAATATAATTTAGACTGAAATTTATTATTCGCATCATTTACAACCAAAATAGGAAGGGGGATATTCGTACTAATCCAGGCATCAATTTTTGTTTGTAATCATCTGTCCTTAATATAAAACACGGCTTTTGTGATTGTATACTTACTAGGAGCAGGTACCGCAGCACAAAACGCTAGGAAGAGACTCATGCTGTCACAACTCAGTCGCCGCAGCGGATCATCCGGCGGACTCTTCGGAGGCGGACTTTCTGGTGCTCTCCCCTTGATGATGCTTTCCGGCGGTGGGGGAGACGGACTCGGAAAAATGTTAATGTTGAGCGCTCTAACTAAAGGATCCGGAATGGGCGGTCAGGGTGGCGGCATGCAGCAACTCCTTCCCTTAATGTTCCTAACAGAATCCGGAATTATGTAATCTACTTCCTGTTTTAAATTTCCTGTTTTGGTCGAGCGTCCGGTACCGGCTGTAAATTGGTAGATGAGCGTGCGTAACATCTTGGATCCTTGATGCGTGTACATAGTTGTATAAATTATGTGTGTGCTTGGACTATACATATATATAAACCCAAAACACTTCTGAGAATTGTAGAAAAAAATTGATTATCTCATATACTCTTTATTAAATCATGTGTAGTTCTTTTTTTAAATCATGAAAATAGTTGGTTGTTCTTCATGTGCCGAATATTGATATAAATATAACGATATCCATTGTCTTCTATATTTTTTCAAATTGACACGCTTATATGAGAAGGTACTAACTTAATTTGATCGAACAAAATAACATTTTACGTAACATCTAAAACAAGAATATATATTTTTATTAAATAAGATCGTCAGTATATGAATTAAATTGTTATTTCTTCCATTATTCTCGTCTGTGTGCTTTTTTACCCCCTTACATCAAAGCTGGGGAGGGGGTAGGGATTTTGTTATAATAGTGCTTAAATGTGAATACAAATGAGTGAGTTATCAAAATCTTTGATCTTCTTAGGTTGCCATCCCAGATAGCAAGACTACATCGGGCCAACGTTGGTTAATGGTTGGTAGGTTGGTATAGTGTTGGTGTTGGGCTGTTAACGTTGGTCCAACATTGGCCCAACAAATGATATGTTGGCATGAAAGCCGGTCCGTCGGTGCTGATTATGTGATGCTGAGCCAATGTTGGCCCATTGTAGTAAATGTTGGCATGAAATGTGACCACTATATATTGGGAATTCCCCACCGTAGGTCCGATAGACGTTGGCATAAATAAATATTACTTGCTATCATAATGTTGACATGAAATATGGCCAATGTGTGTTGGGCATGTAATTATCGGTCCAATGTTGCCCCAATGTAGCTAATGTTGGCATGAAATGTGGCCACTATATGTTGGGAATTCGACGTTGGCCCAGCGTAGGTCCGAACAAGTAGTTATTGGCATAAATTAAAACCATTGGTTTTAGCATCAACCAAGTAATACATGAAACATGGCATGTGTGTTTGGCATGTAATCACGGCAAAATGAAGTAAATTTTGATTATAATCAGGCATTGATTGGGCTTTGAACATGTTGAACGTTGGCCCAGCGTTGGTCCAACAATGTGAAAATAGGGGAAAAAAACAAATAGGTACATGTAGGTGATATGTTCATTACGCACATTTTTTTAAATTTGAATATTTCAGAACCACCTATTTTAAGCTTCTTTAAATAGAGACAGCTCAATTTAATTAAAAAGTTATTTAAGGAAGAATTAATCTTAATAACTCATGCATTGATTATCAATCTAAAAAACGAAATATTATTCCAGAACAATTATCTATGAAAATCATATGATGTACTTTTGATGATTCTTATATGTTATTATTATTCAAGACCATTGCAAATATATTATATATGTAGAAGTTTTATTCTGCACATAATAATATTTTGGATTCTATATTTAGCACCATGAAACTTAAAGTGCTGAATTTTAGAACGAAATCCACTTGCACAAACGGGTGACTGGCCGGTTTCCTAGGAAACGGCTCCCTGTTTGGTAAACTGACTTATCACTTGCAACATTTGAACAAAGCATATAGGTGTACTTGTCTGCTTTGAAACGCAAGAAAGAGAAAACGGATTGTTTAGCTCTTGAAATGTAAGTATAGATCTTTTACGTGTTATTGATGGAAGTTTATGTTTTTGAAAGTATTAACTTAAATTGGGAATAATTTGTAACATTGAACAAGTTTTACAAAAGTTGAACTTTCCAAAGTTTTCATATAGTTTATTAGTAATCTAGTTAATAATTACTTATCTGAGTCAAGAGAAATCATTTTTGAACATATAATTTTGTATCCAACTGGTGGAGAGAAAACCCTTTCTGTTATTGATGTATGGAATTTACTGGACATGCATTGAGTGATTTAAATTTGTGGAGGACATGGATTTTATAGACAAAGAAACAATAACATGAACAAGGGAAAAAAAGGAGTGAATGATTCCAAAGTTGCACATATTTGAACGGGATCCCATTTAAGAGTGGTTGTAAATGTAGTGATAGATTGGATAGACTTTGAACCACCTTCCTGTTACATGTATTGGTTTCATTATACAGGAGTGACAAAAACAACATTTATTTGAAGAACTAGTTAATTATCCATGCAGGATTTAATAAATTAATTGTGATTAACTCGTTATAATGGAAATAAAAAATGTCACAGAACTGGAATTCATATTGTGTAACTGATTAAAAAATAAGTGAATCGTAAATAATTTGCCAAATACGGCCAACGTTTGTCCATAAATAACTTTTGGGCCAACAAGAAGTTATACGTTGGGCCACTGTTGGACACCTTCATGGCAAGTTTTGTTGGTCTTAAATTTGGGCCAACAAATAAAACTGACAGAGGGCCAACGTAATTTTCACCGTTGGGCTGAAGAACGTAAGCTTGCTATCTGAAATTATGATTCGAAAAACCGAAGTCTGCACTACCAGAGGATGCTTGCATAATAAATATTACTTGCTATCATGCCAGGACACTGCTCAGTGCTGTTCTTTAGATCAAGATTTTAAAGTATATGCATATACGGTGTACATGTATATGATTAGAATATATTCCTTGTCCCTATACAGATTTTACCTGATCAAGTTTGACTTTTGTGATTTCGGAACGGGTTGAAATTGTTTGTGAAGTTTTAGAATGTAAAACACATTATTTCTTGAAAGATTAACATTTTATTTCCTGACAAACAAAAGGTTTTGAACCCCTTTAAAGAGATTTGAGTCTAGGTTATTTGGGAAGCTTCCAATCAGTTTTTCCTAGTCCAGTAGTTTTTGGGAAGGAAAGAAATTAAAATGAACTTGACGAATTTTTCACCAAGTTTTATAATTATCTTTCCTTGAAAATGGGATGGCCCTGTAAAAAACAATATTATGGCAAGTTTGTTTCAACTTTTTAAAGAAGAAATCGAAAATATGATAACGGGAAGAAGAATTTCTTCTTTATTAGGGCTGGGTATTGGCCCGAGATTTCGTATTGCGATATATTGTTTTCATTATATGTTTTATTTCAAATAAAATAAAAAATGATTGTTTACATGCAAATGTACATAACTATGATAGTTTGATTTCATTTAAGTTATGCTCTGAAATGTTCCCACAAAACAACTTCTGACTAACTGTTTGGCTTAAACAAACTTTCATGTAAAAACTTGCAATCTAGCCAATATATCATATTACAAAATCGTATTGCGATACGATATTTTTTGTATTCACTATATTATACCCATCTTTGATAAAGTATTGTTTGATTTTCAAAAGATTATATATGTAATTCTTATATATTAACTAGGTGAGAAGAGATGTACCCCCCGCCTCCCATATGATTATAACGACAAAGTCTAAGTTTTCAGTTTCCTCATCTCAATTCTCATACTAATTTGTAAACAATTTTATTAATATTGAAATGGTAAAGTATGTTTGAAAACTAGCAAACCATGGACACTGCCATTATATTCATAAGGGAGGCGGGGAATATTGCTCACAGTTAAAAAATGAAATTGTTAGAATTAATAGGTCAGTAAATATACAAGGGCAATAGTGGTGTATGAAATTTTTTTATAATTCTTATATAAATTATCTCAAAATTATTATAGAACAAAGAATTTAGTTATATATTTTCTACACAATTCAAAGACTTGAAGAAATTTGCAAATGTAAGTTAAATTAATAATAAGGGACTAAACTTTCAAAATATATCAAATAAATATGATTTAGCAAACAAACTATACTGAACTATGTTAGCTTTTAAAAAAGCTTCCAATCGAAGTACAGATTTGAGCCAAAAATCCGAAAAAGTATTTTTTCTCTCGAGCTCTCTCTTTGTAAACGATCAAAACTTTTTTGTTTTTGTATCATTTTGTATCTTTATGTGACAACTTTACTATATGTAAAAATAACATAAAATTGAATTTAAGAAAAGTAGAGGAAATTCGGATTAGCCAATATCCATCTCATTTAAATTATGAATGTCAATTTAATAGGCCCTATATGATAGTATCTTTTTATGCAAACAGAAAAAAAAAATCTGTATTTGAAGTGCTAGTAGGGATCGTATGATTGGCCACAGTAATTTTGAATTCTTGATGTGCAGGTAAAAGGTAATGACCTTGACCTGACATTGTCTCTAATATAAGACTGTCAAATTTAATCTCGGTGATACCACCACTTAGTGATATTGTCTTCTTGATTCTGTGAAAATTTCATTAATTTTTAAATACAAGAAAAATGAGAAGAATCCTACTTTAACACGTAAACCATATTTAAAATTGTGACGTTATCAATTGGCGTAATAAAATAATTATGAGTTCGGTCGTATTTTTCTTGCATATCTTATAAAAACAGTGAAAACTGAATCTAGCTGCAGAACTGTAGCGTTATGGTTATATACTAGTTGTTGATAAAGATTCCTGAATGACCCATCCTTTTGTGATTATCTCCACTTGCAGAGTCCTTTATTTGAAAATTAAGAATCCTTATCACCCAAGGTTGCTTTGTGCCAATTCTGGTTAAAATGAGAAAAAGTCAAGAATGTAAAAAAATTATGGATAGATAGAAAGACAGAGAGCAGATGGATGGATGCTGGACAACTGATGATCAGAAAAAATTAATTGTGCTTCCAAACTCATTGATAAGGAAAGCTCACTTGAGCTCCCAGCTCATCAATCAGAAAAGCTTTCAGCTCAGGTAAGCAAATGACTAATTATGGCTTTGCATGTTGTTCTTGAGAAGATAAATGGACTGAAATATAAAATTTTGATAGCTCATTGTAGAACTACCCTACCCCATGGGCCATGCTCTCAGCAAACTTGAAAAGATTTATGCCAATTTCTTTTTAAGTCAAAATTATCCAGTGTACATTAATTATAATTTACAATACAATGTATAACATTTACTGGCAGCTATTACATATAGCATTATGTGTTAATATTATAAACAACAGACTAACATATATTGCATCTGTCTTTATCGTATTTTCCTTACAAACTTTGAGTGCCTTTTTTCAGTTATGATCTTCACATGACAAATATTTAGCCTCAATTTTACATAAGAAAAATAACCAAAGACCAAAAACTTTAAATGATTGGTGTAAATCTATCTTGCAAAATTATTAAGGTACATTGATACTCTGCTAAGAGAGATAACTCTTAATGACACAAATGTCTATTATTCCCTTATGAATTTGTCAAGTTGAAGTACCTTTTTTTGTCAAATTTTGTCCCGCAAACCATGCTATAATTGTTTGTATTTTATTCAGCATATACATTTCCTTTGGAAAATCATAAAAGTTAAAGAAAATTTTCATTTAGTGAGCAGAGGGTTTATGAACCTTAATGATAATCTGCTATTAGAAATTAGAAAAAAAAAAATAAATAATACAATAATATTAAATTGATAATCAGAATTTGCAATTTCATAAATCATAATTGGTAAACTATTTGAAATTTTAAAAAAAGCAACTCTCAATGAATCAGTTCACCTCTTCACATCAATATCAATACTGAATGCCCACAATACATTTTTTTTCAAAATGTAAAGAAGAAAAAGTCCTCCAAAACTTTTCAGTATTAGTTGCAAATTATTTTGTACAGATTTATGACTTTTACTTGCACTTAAATATTTTTAAACATTGTCATGCAGTCTATAATTTATAAAACATAGTCATTATAAAATAATAACACATTGGGACATGCCTGACTGAATCGCACTTCGTTTTTGTTTTGCTGACCAAAAATGGCCAATTGTTTTTTGTCTGCTTGCTTTTTATTAATACACAATCAGCCTTTTATTTTATCCTGTATTTCTTTGTCTCTGTGTGTTCCATCACAAAACGGTGGATTCTTGGTTTGTTTACAGTTGCAGAGGAAGTAGGTTTTCTCCTCCTCCACTTCAAAAACTTTGGGCTGAAATTTCACCTTCGTCCATTTCCTTTGTGCCAGTGTCTTGTGTGTCCCATCACAGAGAGGCTGGAAAAAAGGAATTTAAGAAGACAATAAATAGAGACATTCAACCATATACTGTACAAGCAGAAATTTTAGGGAGGTTGCAATTTTGGCATTTATAGCCAGGTTGATGAGATTGCTAAAATCGAATATCGTTAACAATTTATTCTGCATTAGAGGTTATCATCATATTTTTATGCATCATAAAATTGCAAAATTAACTTCTCACCAAGATTGAGTAATTATTTTTTAAGGACAATTATTCTTGCTAAAAATTCATATATAAATGTAAAATTGGTCCAAATAACATGGTGCAAAAAAACTGTATACAGTGGTGTAAAATCTATCGACCTGTGAGTGTCCATAACCACATGAACACCAGTGGTATTTCTTTCCAGGCTTGAGGACAATCTTAGCAGGTTTTTTGTCGTAAACTTTCCCTGTGTTCTTTGCCACTTCATTGTAATACTCCTTCAGGACGGCACTCTCTGGATTATGTCCCTTGAAGAAATATTTATGGCGGACCACCATTAAACACTGTAAAGAATTGAAACGTCATGTTAAAGATGGAATTGCAGAGAAAACTACAACCTTCTAAATGATATCATGTACTGTCAAAGTAAGTAGTGAGGTAAAATAGTCATATCATACATGCACATCTTCTTGTGCCTATCCGGCAAGTCTGGATAAGCCCCTCAAATGTATTTAGTACATCATCAGATATTAAAACTTTATACAAAATGTGTTTGGTTGCTAAAAAGTATGTGATACACAGAGTTGAATGTCCCTTCTGTGGATATTTCAAGCATTAATACGTGTATTCAACCTTCAATGAAGACCCTCCAGCTACTGATAATTTAGAGGTCTCCCTACATTTATTTTAATGTGTATGGGGTTGTCATACTAGCACCTATGTTACACTTTCAATGATGTTTTCCACTTGTTGAAAGGTCCAAGAATTGATCATGTCTCTGGTCACAGGGTAGCCAAAGTGCTTACTGCTGGAGAGCATAAAACAAAGGGGATAGTTCATTACATCCCTTGTAATTCCTTCAAACTTAGCCATCCAGCGAGTGGCACAGTGGTTAAAGTTATCTCAGCAAGAATTGTAGAAACTAAAAATTCTGGTCTGGTTTCTCTTTAGATCGAATGTTCTATCGTTAAAATGATAGATGTTCCACAGACCCGGTTTGGTGAGGGCTTGTCCCGGAACACAGTTAGATTATTCTGACTAGTTTCTCGTATAAACTAAAAATTTTCGAAGCAAACTTCTATGTCCCTATGAATCTTGCTGAGATTATGGTTAGAGCAGAGTGAGAGTTGCAGAGTAAGGATCAAGTTGATCCTTTCTTCAAATATTAGAATCCTACTGCGTGGAGTCGGACATCGTAATAGGTCCTTCAGATGAGAAAGTTTAAACCAAGGTACTTTTTGCAGAAGGTGCTGACACGAAAAAGATCCTTCAATGGATTTGAGTGCCGGGTTTTGATCTAAATATTCTGAGCCTTCTACAGGCAAGTGGTGACGTCTCGATATGAGTGGAAAAATTTCGAAAGGATCGTTAAACAAACAAAAAAACGTTCAAGCAAATCAAATGAACATATTTTTAAAACTCAAGCTTGCATATTTTCAAAAATTACCGTGTAAGATCGGCGAAAACACAAAAAGTTTTTCAAGGGCAGCAAATTTTTGATGGAGAGCGCCATTGTTATAGTTCTGCAGTGAATCTTTCTAGTTTTCAGAAATAGATTTCAAACCTATTTTAAAAACAACTACAAATATTTCATAGTTATGAAGTTTTCACAAATATCACACTTTGAATATTGCTATGATTTTGATTTGGTTTTATTTTCTTTATCAATTTCGGTTTTCACGAACAGAGAACCAGTTTATTCCGCGCGTTCCTGATTTGTTAGGGAGATACTAAAGACCTGACCTACTAAAGACCTGACTGACCTGACCAATATAAAATTCGTCAAAATCACTATTTTAAGACCAATTATCATATTTTTTAGGATTTTTTCTTGATAAGAACATAAAATTAAGTTAAATAAATATTAATATACATATTTTTACCATATTTATTGCTATTTATCTGTTCATTTCATAGAAATGTAATGACCTGACCAAATATGAATTGACCTGACCAAAACCAAAATCATCAATAATAGTTATATTTATTAAATATTTGATAAGTTTTAAAAACAATTCTTCATTATAATGGTTAATACTTTGGATAAAATGGTTTTAGAAACATTTTTACCTCAAGTCATTGAATTTTAATGACCTGACCTAATATGAAATGACCTGACCAAATATGAATTGACCTGACCAAAACCAAAATCATCAATAATAGTTATATTTTTAAAATACATGTATTTGATAAGTTTTAAAGAATTATCTTCATTATAATGGCTAATACTTTGGATGAAATGGTCTTAGTATCATTTTTTTACCTCAATTATTAGTTTACAAACTAACAAAAGCAAAATTAACAAAAGGAATTTTAATGACCTGACCAAAAATGAAATGGCCTGATCGAATAAAAATCATTGATAATAGCTTTTATTTTTAAATATCAGATACATTTTAGAAAATATTCTTCATTATGATGTTTAATACTTTTGGTAAAATTTAAATGCTTCTAGAAACAGTTTTACCAAAGTTATCAGTATATCATCATGAACATGAAAGTTTAATTTAATGACCTGACCAATTAAAATTAAAGAAATGACCTGACCAAATAGAAATCATTAATGATAACTACCTTTTTTTTTAAATATAAGATACAATATAGAAGATATTTTTCATTGAAATGTTTCATAATATTATTTGAGATAAAAATGCTTTTAAAAACAGAAATATTTAATTGATAAATTATAATTAAAAGTATTTTTTATGAACATAAAATATAAAAATCATGTTAAATCTAATATGTTATAGCATTATTAATAAATTATATTAAATGATCTTACAACAACTCTATCTATATAGAGACTATCGATACTAAAGACCTGACCAATCATATGATTGTCTTGATATGAAATTTTTATTTTAATAAGCTTTTTAAAAGCTTGATCTATAATCATGATAATTGTTTAACATTACATTTAACATTTTCAACAATGAACACTTGGTTAAATCTACAATTTATTTTACAACTTGGTCAATTTTTATTTATTTTGTTTTATTTTGCTTAATTTGTTTGATAGAGAAAATATATCTCAAAAGATAATTGAATTTTAATCAGTATAATAATGAAGTTTAATGTTTACTAGTATTATACAAGTAGTCTAAACAAGGGATAGTGAGAGGTAATTGTTAAACAAACAACATGGGTCAGTGCCCCTTTTGACACTTCTATCACAGTAACATTGGAATCAACAATGTAGCTGGGGAAACAGTAGTTAATCCATTTCATTTCAATTTTTAGAAAAGATTTCTGTATGAATATTATATTTAAATCAAATCAAAATAAAATACCCAAGAATTATTAGAAAGAAGGATTAAATTAGAAACTTTTACCATTATAGAAATTGTAAAATTTAACAGTTTGAAAGCCATATATGGCGTAACTGATCAAAAAAATATATTTTTGAAAAATATAAAAGTAAGTCAAGAAATATAGTTAATACATTTAAATTTTTCATAAAACTTTTCATACAATTTTGAACACGGAGAACACATCGTTTAATCTAATAATACGATTTTATCTTCTCTGTATTGTGTTATTTAAATCTTTTGTATTTTCTTCCGAGTCCGAGAAAATTCGAGAATCCAAATTAAATTGTGATATATTTTAAACACAATTGACTTAGATTTTGTAATTTACGGAAAAGTTTTATCTTTATATAAAGTAAAGATACCATTAATAAGTTCTTATAATCTTAGTCTAATAATTTTCATTGTAAATACGCCATATATGGCTTTATAAATTTCATCATTTTTAATTTGAATTTAGAATTTTTTTTTTTTGAAAATGTGTATTTTTGTTTCTTTCATAAATTAAAAAAACACGAATACAGTAATACACAGATATCACAGCCTAAATACATGTAACATGTTTAAATTCAAATTAAATAATCAATGTTTATAATTCGTTTGTCTGCATAAGGGTTACAACGACACAGATTTAATCTTAATAATCCAAATTTTTGAAAACATATTGGACGATGTGAAAAAAGATAAAAATAATATTTACTAGTAAAGTCTAGTATATTTTTATAAAATACATGTATCTTAATATATAACAGTGCTACTGAATCTTATATACTCAATAATTTTGGTTATTACACTCATAAATGCAAAATTAAATTTAAAAAAAAAAATAGATATAAATCAATTGAATAAAATTGTAGTGTCAGGTCTTTAGTACATGTATACAGACATGGTTGGTCAGGTCTTTAGTAGAAATGGTCGGTCAGGTCATTCATATAGACACGTGGTTGGTCAGGTCTTTAGTAGGTAGAGTTGGTAAGATCTTTAATAGCATTGGACATGGCCATGCAGTCAGGTCATTGCAATATATTGTTGTAATGTCACCAATATTTTTCAAATGCTTGAAAAAAGATTAAGTATAATTTTTAAATTGTATGAGTATTAAATTCTTTAATTATAGTTTGTGAAAATTCACATATGTATATAAATTTATTCAGGCAGTTTGCTTGGTCAGGTCAATGCATTTTTTTATGTACTAGTTCATATTAAAGTATACTGTTCATAAATGTGTGTTTTTATGTCTGAAGTGTTTAATTAATTAAATACTATCATACAATCAATTATGATATAAACATAAAGTATTAAATATTTAAAGAAAGATTAAGATTTTAAGTGATTTTAATTTGGTCTGGTCATTTCATATTCGGTCAGGTCATTAAAATTCCATGATATAAACTTATAATTGAGGTAAAAAATGTTTCTAAAATCATTTTATCTAAATTATTAACCGTTATAATGCAGAAAATCTTTTAAAACATATCAAAATATTAAAAAATATAACTATTATTGATGATTTTGGTTTTGGTCAGGTCAATTCATATTTGGTCAGGTCATTACATTTCCATGAAATTAACAGATAAATAACAATGAATATGGTAAAAATGTGTATATTAGTATTTATTTAACTTAATTTCACATTATTATCAAGAAAATATCCTAAAAAGTATAATAATTGATCTTAAAATAGTAATTTTTGATGAATTTTAGGTTGGTCAGGTCAGTCAGGTCTTTAGTAGGTCAGGTCTTTAGTATTTCCCGATTTGTTACCATCTTCACATAGCGACCACATAGTAACCGCGGAACAAGGTGTAAAGAAAACACTTGCGTTAGAGTTTTATGTTGATCGAAGGACAAGATGAGCCAAAGACAGGTTTTGCAAGGTAAAAAACTTTAAAGTAATAGAAAATTTTACAATTATCTAAGTATCTTTATGCTATGTTTTTTCTGCAAATTAAATTTTAATCAGCTCTCTCCCATACTTAAAATAGGTCTAGAATGGTTTCATATCCTCAAAACAAGGGGTTTACCATCGAAATTTATGCAAATTGCATAAATATTATATGATTCAACCAACAAAATGCGGAATTCTACGCAATTAAATGCTTAATTGATTATTTTTTATGAAAATGAGATGAGAAAAAAATTTGCCAGTGCAAGACTTGTTACAGTGCATTTTTTACATGTTATAGATTGTTTAAGGTATTTTTGAAGATATTGTCAAATGAAAACTTAAATTTTTCAAACTGGTTTTTGTGGGTTTTTTTCATGTTTTTATCCATTTATTGATTAATTTATAGCTGATGATATAGAACATATGAACTACATGTGTATTATATGCAAGCAATGTAATGTTTTCTGTTCAATAAAAAATATATTTTACCTTCTTGTAAATCAGTTGAAATTTCAACATTTGGAAAAAAACGTTATTACCTAGTCCCTCCAAAAGAATGAATTATGCCTTCCACTAAGTTCTAGTGTAGCATCTGGCTGAATGTTGCCAGCTAGCTGACATACAATATTCAAAAAAAAAAAAAAAATTGGGACTGCCAGTATAGTGTTCATGCACTCACTATTCAGGACCAGTTATATCTGTTTGTATAAAACATTCAGTAAAATATGATAATATGATATTGCATGTATTTGCATATAACTGAAAATTGTCACCCCTCAAAAACCATTCTTCACCTGGGCTATATATGATATCTTCACTCAAGTTCACTGACAAAAGTTTCATGCAGTATAAATTTTACAAACAAATGCAATATTTATTTTATAATGTAGACCTGAACTATTTTTTCCATTGCAGTTTTTGAGCAGTATCAGAAGGCTAGAACAGGATTTGTTCAGACTGTAGCAGAGTTAGCCAGCAGGCCCCAGAACATCGAAACCCTTCAGAATGCTGGAGTTATGTCCCTTCTCCGACCACTCCTACTGGACATTGTACCAACCATTCAGCAGACAGCTGCCCTGGCCCTCGGCCGATTGGCCAATTACAACGATGATCTGGCAGAGGCTGTAGTGAAGGGAGACATCCTACCCCAGCTTGTCTACTCCCTGGCTGAACAAAATGTAAGATTATTAATTAATTAAATAAAAATTACTTTACATCATATATACATGTGACAACATGCACTATAACATTATTTTTATAAGTTTCTACATCTTCAATTGAACATATATTTAAAAAAAACTCAAAAAACTTTTTTAAAACTCATTTTAAACAAATCCAAATTTTTTTTTTCAGAGGTTCTACAAAAAGGCAGCAGCATTTGTTTTGAGAGCAGTAGCCAAACACTCCCCTCAGCTGGCCCAGTCTGTAGTTGACTGTGGGGCCCTGGACGCTCTAGTCATATGTCTAGAAGAGTTTGACCCGGGGGTTAAGGAGTCAGCTGCCTGGGCACTGGGATATATAGCTCGTCACAACGCAGGTTAATAAATACAGCTAGGTCACATTGATATGAGCTTCAATACAATCTATGTACTGTACAGCAAGTTAATTTGATACCATTTTATCTGTTCTTTCTGTAAAAGGCAGAATTCAGGAAATCAGGCCTTGATGTCTTTTAAAATCTTTTCTTTTAATTTCATGAAAAATTGGTATCAACGAAGTTATGTGGATAGAATATTGTTCCAAGTAATTTTTTTTTCTTAAATTAATATAAATTTAAGCATTTATACATGTAAGTGTATTTATCAGGAAGAGAGCATTAATGAGAAATTAATTTACTAACATTTTCCTCTCTCTCCGTTAGAGCTAGCCCAGGCTGTTGTGGATGCCGGGGCAGTCCCCCTCCTTGTTCTGTGTATCCAGGAACCAGAACTCTCCCTGAAGAGGATCGCAGCCTCGGCCCTTAGTGACATCTGTAAACATTCCCCCGAGCTGGCACAGACTGTGGTCGATGCAGGAGCCATTGCTCATCTAGCTCAAATGATTCTCAATCCCGATGCTAAACTCAAGGTAAGTATTTGAAAGATGTTTTCTTACAATTGACATGTGGTTTTTCTGTAATTTTAGTACTGGGTACAAGCTTAATTTTCTACAAATTGTCAGTAGATATTTTCCAGTGGAGTTTTTTAAGTAAGAGAGGCCCTTCAATTATACTGTAAATCAGTAAATTTAAAGATATGAAATTATTCTAATTATTTAAAAAAAAACCTTGATTTATTCTTTTTTGACTTTTTTTCCCACAGCGTCAAGTTTTCTCCGCTCTGAGTCAGATTTCCAAACACTCTGTTGACCTAGCAGAAATGGTCGTGGAAGCTGAAATTTTCCCGGCTGTTCTGACCTGCCTGAAGGATCCAGATGAGTACGTGAAGAAAAATGTCGCCACCTTGATCCGAGAAATTGCTAAACACACTCCTGAGGTAAGAGATTGTTTTAAGTTGAAAAACTGTAATATATATTATTTAGAAGTAACATTTTTGATCTAATGTCTAAATTGGCAGAAATTCTTTTAACTAAATGATGGTTACTCATTATTAATCATTAGCAAATTTATGTTCAATAATTTTTCAATGAATCAGACATTCATTTGTGCTCTCCAGTTATTCAATTATGCATGTAACTTGTATACCTGTATAGTGTATATTATCAAAGGATGAACATAGAAAAAAATCACTATAGACTAAATTTCATCCTTTGTTGCACTTGACAATGCATAATAATATTAAATTGGGTCCTGATTTAGTAAATTAAAACCAATCTTTTTTGTATGATGCAGTTGGCTCAGCTGATTGTGAATGCAGGAGGTGTGGCTGCAGTTGTAGATTACGTCGGAGAATCTAAAGGAAATATACGACTTCCTGGAATCATGATGCTGGGATACGTAGCAGCTCACTCCGAAAATCTGGCCATGGCAGTTATTGTATCTAAGGTAAATGGAATTAAATGAAACAACCTCAAATTTTGCTGATTATAAGCCCAAGGTTTGAAGTCTGCTTCAGTTCAGATGCAATGAAATGTTCATATTTATTTAAAAAAAAAAGCTTTTTATCATAGGTTTAAATTTTGTGTCATATGACCACAAACTCAATATTATGATTATTTTGACTAACTGCATGTTTAAATACTGAATGAAGATTTTAAGGGAGGTAACTCTTCATTTCTCTAGTACACTCTGATGTTGAAAATGGGGAAAATATGGATGCATGATTTTTGTTTCTTTAAAAAATTTGATAACTACAAACATTTTGTAAGTAACTGCTAAATATTAAAAGAAAAATCAAAGAAGGGTATACAGGCCTATTATATGTACTAATTATCGAAAAAGGGGGTATGCAGTGTCGTTAAATGTTGGAATTAAATAGCTTCATAACAGCTTTCCTCCATTCTGAGTTTGTTTATATTGTTTCTATATAATTTTTCAGGGAGTAGTTCAGCTTGCCATTGCTTTATCCGAGGAACCAGAAGACCACATACAAGCCGCGGCGGCCTGGGCGTTAGGACAGATAGGTCGTCACACTCCAGAACACGCCAAGGCGGTGGCGGTCGCTAACGTGTTACCCAAATTACTTCAGTGTTACCTCAGAGCAGATGCTTCAGAAGATCTCCAGACAAAGGTCAGTAGGTCAAAAGGTCAAGGTCATTTTGAAGCAAAAGAAATATGGCTAATTAAATGTGAATTAAGTAATAATGAATTTATTTTTCTTTAAAAATCCTTACTATGTTGATGTCATTCAAATTGCATAGATTTCAATGATTTTACAATTTTTCATGAATTCTAGTTGTCTTTATGTAAGAATGATTAAGTTTTTATTGAAATTTGTGAATTGTAACTATGTGATATGTCTATCTAAATACAGAGCAAAAAGGCCCTAAAGAACATCCTCCAGAAATGTGTCCATCTCCCCGCACTAGAACCCCTTCTCCACGATGCACCACCAAATATCCTCAAACACGTTGTCGGACAGTTCAGCAAAGTTTTACCACACGACTCCAAAGCCAGGCGTCTCTTTGTCACGAGTGCCGGACTTAAAAAGATACAAGAAATCAAGGCAGAACCCGGCTCAGCCCTGGCAGAATACATCAACACAATTAATAACTGCTACCCAGAAGAAATTGTCAAGTACGTACTTCATATTTGTAAAGTGCAGAGTTTTTTTGTAACTTTACATAGCAGATTGATTTTTTTATACTTACTGGAACTTTAATTAGAGCTACAGGGCTGTCCCTAAGACACGGGGAATTTCCCCGCCTATAATGACATAAACCTCTGGTTATTCTGGTGTTTCAATTTACCCTCTTTTAAAGGAGGGACCCCAAATCCCGGGGACTTTTTTTTTTCTCCTTCATTTTCAATTCTTAGGGACAACCCTGCAGCTAGACAAAAGGTTTAAACTGCATTAAATTTAAAAACTTAAAATTCTTGATGACTGTGAAACTGATCTAGAAATTCTTCCAGCTTTGCAAATTAACTTTATCTTCACAAGATTCAAAAATAAATTTGATATCAATCTGTTTCTGACCTAGAAAAATAATATATCCTTAGTGGACTATAGTGAATTCATTAAATAAAAATGCCAAAGCAAAGTTATGATTTTTGTAACAGAATATTTGTTATTTTGTGAAACTAAATTTTCAATACTGCAATGTTGCGAATTTCGTAATTTATTCATAATTTTGTGTTTTATTTGTAGATACTACTCCCCTGGATATTCCGACACCCTGCTAGAGAGAGTAGAACAATACCAGCCCAGTAAATAAACAATCTAACACCGCAAGTGCAAAAAAAAGGACACAAGTGCAAAAAGGACGCTTTAATTTGAATGTGACAAAACTGTGACAGCCAAGGATTGAAGTTTTTCTTTACTTTCTAGAGATCTATACTTCAATTGCATTTATATTTAGGAGTTTGATGAGAATTTATGAAATTTAATTTGAAAAACTTACAAATTTATAATAATCAAAATTTACATATTGAGTTCATATTATAGTATGCTCCTTGAAATTATAAGGAAATGTATATTCCACTTGCACAGACATGTATGAGTGAAATTTAGTTCAATTTAATTTAAAAAAGAAGGGAGGGGGTAAAGATTTAATAATTCCGTTTTATTACTCAAACTGTGAATGAATATTTTATTACTCAAACTGTGAATGAATAAAGAAAACAACCTTATGAAAGAGGAATTTTCAAAATAGAAAATGAGATGTTTAAGTTTATCTACATAACTTTTTCAATATCAATATTGCTTAATTAAATGTTTATATAATGATACTTCAGGCAAAACTATTATACCGTTTACTATTTGTTACAAAATAAATATTTATTACAAAATTAAGAACTGTCATTTTTATTGCACCCAAATTTGGAGGTTTTGAGGACATTTGGTACACATGTCCTAGGAATTTGCTTTTTCTCCATGTTTATTCTTAAAATCACAGCTTTAACCTTCATGATTTGCCTTGACTTTTAAAAAACTGCTGCTGTGGCTTTTATTTTTCATTTGTGTATTTATTCCTTAAATTTCTTACATGATCCTTTCTTGCCAGTAATTTTAACCTTGACTATGACCTCAGAGGGCGTTTTTGTACATGTATCATTGGCAGATAAGAGAAGGACAGACAAAACAGCCCAGTCAATTTCCCATGCAATATGTCAAACTAATTTCACACCGATATTATTTTATGATAACTGAAATCCCATTCCAACAAAATATTTAAAGTAAAAGAAAATGTAATGAAGGGAAACAAGTACATCAGAGTATTAGGCATGATTTTAAATCATCTGTGGGAATTATTTTAGAAAATTAAGGGGCATAACTGAAAAATCACAATATTTTGCTAATATTGGAAAATTCCATGCCTGATAGGGGAACTAGACTATTGAAATTGACATTGTCGGCTTCTTGTGATTTAAATCTATTAGACTACATTTTCAAAATATATTTACACTATTATTTCACAATGAAATGAAAATAAAAGGAATCACTGTTTAGTTTGTTGGGTACTGTAGATCAATTTATTTTCGCGACACGTTATTTTCGCGAGATAGTCACCGACTCTTTATTAGCGAGACAAAATTTTAACGAATTGTGGTCATTGCCTTATATAATCTTAAGGAATTCTGTTATACACGAGAATGAAATTTTCGCGAGCATACCGTCTAGCGTAATTACGCGAAAATAATGTTCTCGCAAATAAAAGTGATTTACAGTAATTGTCAGGGACATCAATGACGGTTGGAAATGTGGTTTATTTTATGCCTAACAGCATTCACCCAATATGCAAATTATTCCACGTTTCAAACTATCCTTGATATCCTGGCATACCAAACAAACTATATAGTGATTCCTCAATAATACACAATTTCATTCACTTCTCCTTTCTTCAAGATTAAAAAAAAAAAGACTTTGATGCCTAACCAAAATTTATGAGCTACTGTATACTAGTAAATGGAAATTTTTGCCTCCATTTAATTTTTGCCTTAGACACAAAATTAATGGGTAAAATTAAGATGGGTGAATTTAATTCGTACAGTATAACTTTAAACAGAACCACGACTGGGTAAATTTTAATAGAATGAAGCATAATTGTTTTAGTGTGAAAGGGAAAAAATAACATGGGGCAAAAATTACCCTTGCTCAGTTACATCTATAGTAGAGCAATTTGCAAACAAATAAAAAAAATTTAATAACCCACAAATTAATGCTTTCGCTCTTCCAATTTTGTTAACATGTTTTTAAAACGTAACTTTTATACATTCTAAAGTTAATTTACAACATTAAATTCAACCAATTAGACCTTGAAGTAGGGGAAAATTCTCTAAATTTACTTATTCAATTGACGTATGCAGAAAAAATCCTCACTATTGTGGCTGTCAGGCCACATTAGAAGATTGCTGAATGATTAGGATTCTCATCCGATCATCAAGGCCTCTAAATATGTTTTTACCGATACACTAACTTAGTCATTCTCTTAAATCATAAATTCACTTGGAGTGTCATTCCCTTGTAGTAATTAAAGCTATATACTATACTGCAAAAAGATCACAAAGTTTAAAATATTAAATTTTCAAGTTTTAATAAGTATTTCTCAAAAATTGCACAAAACAGTTGTATTAAGGAATCATTTTGGTGGCCCCCCAAATCCCATTCTCTTCTTGTCTGAATAATATTTCCGATTATGATTAGCTCGGCTGGACTTATGCTTTTCTTTCCATGCTCTGTTTTTCAATACATCATCTGACTGGCCTTTGCCCTTTGCTTCACCTTTGACATCATATTTTTTCTCTTTATCCTCTTGTTGACCTTTGAAGTTTGACCTCTGACCTTGCGTCCTTCGTTGAGCTTTCCACTGAGCTCTCTCCTCAGCTCTCTGTCGAATTAAAGCTGGATTAGGAACAAACTCGTCTTTCACAGGATTTTCTTCAACCGTTTCCTCTGCGCTTTCATCACTATCTGATTCAACGTCTTGTTTTTTCTGTAGAACTCTTGGAACCGTAAACTGCCTTCTTTGAGTTAATTCATCCGCGGAATCTGCATCATCGGCGCCGACATTAATCGTATCGTAAGTGTCATCATATTCATCATCATACAGCTCGTCCTCTACTTCTATCACCTGGTATCCATACTTTTCAGCCAATTTCGGATTCAATTCAGCCGCGTCATTTTTATCCAGGTCCACAGCGTCTGTCTTCCCTTTCTTCCCTTTATAAACCTTGGTCAAGTCCACCTTGTCCCTGCTGAATACATCAAATTCATCGTGATCAAATATATTAGCTCTCTGTGAAATCACCACATCTTCAGACTGTTCATATTGCTGTCTAACCATGCTTCTATCTAAATCTTCCAGTGAAGGAGGCAGTTTGTCTTCAAGGACAGAATTGATAACTTTCTCTATGTCATATCCATACTCTTCTAAACACAGCTCTATAAATCCTTCTCCTAAATCCGGTAACAAATCTTTTACGGCTGCTATCAAGGAGTCCAACTCTACCCCTGTTTTCCTTGGGGCACAAGCTCCCATATCATCATAACTATTATTATTTGCCGGCGGGGCAGGGGAGGGTACAGCGCCACCACTAATGTCTTCTTCCATTGGCCCTGGGGATCCATCGGGTGAGGTTCTCCCACCCCTTGTGGTTGCACCAGTGGGTTTCTTCCTCTTTCCATAGGTGGCAAAGGCAGAGCTAAAAGCCTCTTGAATGTACTGGATCCTTTTTTCATCAACATCACATGGACACTGGGTTAAAATGTCTGCATAGTCTTGAAAAGGATGACAACTTTCAAAGTCAGCCAGGAACCGTCGTTCATTAAGCAAGCCAGAGAGTGTCTGAATGAATCCCTCAATGTGTTCATCTGCAGAACCACTGTTTTCAAGAATGGGGTTTAAAAAGCAGTGTGTTATAATCAAATGAACAGATAACATCAAGAACTTCTTGGCTTGTGCCAATTTTTGGCGCAACAGCTTCTTTTGTGTGTAGGTCTCAAATTCCCTGTTTTTTATAACTGCCAACAAAGCTGGGACCAAATCATATGCCTCCGAAATTTGGCTTATGAAACCTTCTTCATGAAAAATATATGATGCTGGCGGGTAGACCTCTAAAAAGCTAGAAAGCGTTCTTCCAATATCTGCCAGATAAAAGACAAGATCCTGTAGCTCTGGTGTACTTAAAGTTTCTGCAGTGATCTCTTCTGTACCAATTAAACTTGTCTTCTTTGGTGATTCGCTTCCCGCTGAAGATGGTAGAGGCATGCCACATTTCTTTCTCATCTCTTGCAATACGTGGAAAATCGTTGGAATTGCACAACTTAGGTCTTCATTGTATTTCGGCTGCTGGTTAAATATATTTTCTATCATTTTGGACAAAATCTGTCCATTTTCAGCATACAATACGCACAAGTCAAACAATTTTGGAACATCAAAGATGTAATTCTCATAGATGATCTCTCCAAATACAGATGGTGCTATGGAGTGCTCTTTATCTTCTTTGTGAGTTGCAAGCCTGAGGCACGTCATGAAGACCAATTTGTGAAGCTCAGCATGTTGTTCTTGGAAATCCTCAGACAGATTACTTAATGGTATCATATCATGGCTTCTTGGGGCATTCTTCAAATAGGATTCTACCAAATTATGAAGGGAGCCGTCAAACACTGCCTGACACCAAAACTTCTCATGACTTAGTTGCAGAAGTTTGTGCAGATCTTCAACGATGAAACGCACTCTGTCTCCCCATTCTTCTAACTGTCCGCTGTCTGACTTGCCCGTGGGTGGAGGAAAGTAGCTAAGAAATCGTATGTCTTCTGTTTGATTTGGATCCAGTCTTGGGTATTGTTTCCCTTTTTCTTCTCTCCTTGACAGTCCACGAGCAGACATTTTTGTGGTGCAATGGGGGGATTGGATCAAATCGTCCCTCGGGAAAAAGTGCTGTGGACAATATGTTTATTTTTATTACATTTTTGGTTTAAAAGTAATTAATTGTTCATATTTCTATCTTAGTGAAAATGAAATTTAAAAATAATTATTTTAGCGTTTAACAGAATGTAACTGACATCTTCAGAGTGCAGAAAGTTTTAGAAAGCAATCGGTGTGAGTCAACAAAGAAACGAGTTGAGTAGAGACCGTTTTATTAATGCGTACCTGGATTTTTCGTGTTTACGAATAGTTCGCACTGGTATGTTTCGCTTTATTTTTGTGCAATATTGCTTATCGAAACATTTTTTCTTTTGGTAGATATTGTAAAAAGAATATTTTACAAAGTAATGATATAAATCTTTATTTTCTTCAAGCTTGCTGCATTCGGACGGATAAAACAGGTTAAAAGTGTTAATATTCCGTCTTAAAAGAGTTTATTCATGTTTGGTTCTTCTTTTACTATTTCTTTATGTCACTTTTAGAAAAAGGATGAGAAAACGAGGTGTTGGAGTTGCTGCAGCGAAAAACAAATCTCTTGCGGAGGTAATTTACAGAATCTGTATAAAACTTATTGTAGGATGAGAGGTAAACATGGTAAAGAAAAGGGAGTCACTGACTGGGAAAAGAGAAAAGGGGGTAATAAAATATTGACAGTGTCAATGTCTGGTCAACATCATTCTTAATAAAGGGGTACCTTACTACCTGCGTAGAAAGGATAGTAAAGAGGTTGGTATTTTCCACAGCAAAATGTCAGGACTGTGGAAAAAGAAAAAAAACATGCATGCTATTGTTGGTTATTAAATTAATGTTTCACAGGTATACAGGTCCAGTCCAAAGACTATTTCTACCTACGTAGCTATTAATAGCTACCTAGGTATTTAAACCTACCCAAAGTAGCTATTTTTACCTACTTTTTATATTTTCTGGATTTTGCGATCAAAAGACCAAACGGCACAACATGGTGAATACCATTTTTTTTATACAGTCACACTAATGATGAATACGACAAAATTTTGGCCAAAAAGTTATTACTTCCTGAATCGGCAATTTTACATTAGTCTCTTTGCAAAATTGATAATATTCGAAGTAATCATTTTTTGGACAAATTTTTGTCATATCCATCATCAGTGTGACTGTATCAAGAAATTTTGTGCTTACCATGTTGCACCATTACTGCATTTGGTCACAAAATGCAAATAAAGCAGAAAGTAGGTAAAAATAGCTACTTTGGGTAGCTTTAAATACCTACATAGCTATTAATAGCTACATAGGTAGAAATAGTCATTGAACTGGACCTGGTATACTCTTTGAGGAGGATATATTTTTGGCCGTGGTTTGCGACGATGCAGCAGACCAGACCGGGATTCAAACCGGGGGCCCCCTGAATCTCCAGTCAGGTGCTCTACCAACTGAGCTTTCTGGCAACCAGCGATAGAACCTGGTTGACCGCCACATTCCTCCCTCCTTAAAGGTCTTTGGTCCCCCAGAGATCCCAACTCAGGCTCATCCTGGTCATGGCACCAAATCTTCAACAGGAAAGGAGAAAATGTATGGCTGGACCGGGAATCGAACCCGGTACTCCAGCATCACCAGTCAGGTGCTCTACTAATCGAATGAGCTAGCCAGGCCGATATCCACAGCACAATCCATTACATAATATGATAATAATAAGGCCAAAAAAATAATATTCTCAGATTCTCATCCCCGCCCGCCCCGATTTTATACCCCCGCCTCGATTTTTTTAATTTTTGTATTTCTTCGTCTTAATTCTGATCGGGATCAGTATTCATCTACCATTCTACTTTCATTTTAAATCCTGCGAAAGTCAACATGATTTTGACAGCTGAAAAGATAGTAATTGTTGTAATACATGCGTATATATTTTAAACAAGGGTCATTGGTTGAAAAAGATTGGTGATGATGTGAAGTAAGAGATAATTGAACCTTTACTATGACTTTTATTCGGGTTTTGTAGATATTACACCGATTGATCAGGTCAATAAAAAATCTGCAAAATTGAAAAAATGAAAAATATGAAATAAAAGCCGCCCGTCCGCCTCAATTTTTAAAAAAATTTGGATGAGAATCTAGCTATTTATTTATTATGGCCTAAAGTATAATAATTTATCTGTAAAGTATCTTTAATTATTCTGTGAAATTACAGGTTTTGGTGGGGGTTAATTTTCTTTGTTTTTAAGGTATGCAGAGACCTTTGGTCTTGTATTCATGACCACCTTGAAATGTAAAATTTCACATGCATTCAGGGATTAATCTAGGGCATATTTAATACCAATATTCAGTGTTTTTCCCTTAGAGAAAATTTCCCCTAAAGATCTAATTTTCCCCTTTTGATGCGTAAAATATTCCCCTTACAATAATAAAAACCTCAAATATATTTTCCTTCATAAAAAACTGAAAATTTAAAGGAAACTGTTTCTGTATATGAGAAATATGGTTTTACTTTGCTACTTTATGCACTATAAATGGTCATAAAAAATGCTGAAATTCAATTGGCGCCCAAGCAGGGCTTGATTACGGAATAGACCAAACTAGACTTACATGTACATGTTTACATCCATATTTCATTTCAGGCTCGTTACAAAAACAAAGGCAATGAACTGGAACAAAGTCAGCTGGCTGAGGTAAGAGTAGTGCCCCCTGTTGCAGACCAGTATGAAAAGCACCCTGCATTAAATGTACCAATTTGAAATATTAGATTTTAAAAGCACTTGCCTCATGAGCATTAAACTTGTTACATGTAAATTTCAAAAGTATTTTAAAAATATGCACAAAATTTTTATTGTGTATTTGATGATTTATAGTGTATTAATTTTGATGATTCCTGAACCAGCTAGGCATAAAATTTTGTTTTTAAAAGACCAAAAGAGCTGTATTTTAATATATGCAAAAAGGAGGTATAAAATCATTTTTACCATTGATTGAGAAAATACCTCAAGACAGAGAGAATGAAGTCAATGAAAAGGATAAGGGGATGTTGATAACATGTAACATAGCTTTTTGGTTTCAAGATCTCTGACACATTTTTTGTAGCATCATTGTGCCTCTAGATGAAATATCACAATAATATATACACAAGTAATACATGTATTGCGAACATAAGAAAAAGTTTAACACTTTTTAAACAACACACAGATGGCCAAGCAGATGGAAATGTTCAAGGTGAACCTAGAAGACTTTGCTGCTAAACACAAAGATGACATTAAAAAGGACCCCCAGTTCAGAGTCAACTTCCAAGAGATGTGTGCTTCCATAGGAGTGGATCCACTGGCATGTAGGTATCTGTAGCAGTATAGGGGTGGATCCACTGGCATGTAGGTATCTGTAGCATTATAGGGGTGGATCCACTGGCATGTAGGTATCTGTAGCAGTATAGGAGTGGATCCACTGGCATGTAGGTATATCTGTAGCAGAATAGGAGTGGATCCACTGGCATGTAGGTATCTGAATCAGTATAGGGGTGGATCCACTGGCATGTAGGTATCTGTAGCAGTATAGGAGTGGATCCACTGGAATGTAGGTATCTGTAGCAATATAGGTCTGGAGTGGATCCACTGGAATGTAGGTATCTGTAGCAGTATAGGAGTGGATCCACTGGAATGTAGGTATCTGTAGCAGTATAGGGGTGGATCCACTGGCATGTAGGTATCTGTAGTAGTATAGGAGTGGATCCACTGGCATGTAGATATTTGTAGCAGTATAGGGGTGGATCCACTGGCATGTAGATATCTGTAGCAGTATAGGGGTGGATCCACTGGCATGTAGATATCTGTAGCAGTATAGGGGTAGGTCTACTGGCATGTAGATATCTGGAGCAGTATAGGGGTAGGTCTACTGGCATGTAGATATCTGTAGCAGTATAGGGGTGGATCCACTGGCATGTAGGTATCTGTAGCAGTATAGGAGTGGATCCACTGGCATGTAGGTATCTGTAGCAGTATAGGAGTGGATCCACTGGCATGTAGGTATCTGTAGCAGTATAGGAGTGGATCCACTGGCATGTAGGTATCTGTAGGAGTGGATCCACTGGCATGTACGTGTCTTTGTATCTTGATATCAAGCAGATATGGAAAATCTGTGTCAGTCAATCTAATCAAAATTAGAATTTTAATCCACTAGCACATTTAGCACATTTAATTGTGAAAATATGTGCATTGTAGACTTTCCCTACTTATGATGAGATTGCAATATATACTGTAAAATCACATATTTTCGTGGGGTCAAATTTTCATGGTTTGAGGAAAAAATGTTGGTTCGTGGGGATCTGATTTCGTGGATGAAGAACTTTTTAGTAGTCGTGCATTTGAAAATGTACATTTCATGGTGGACATCAATTCGTGGGTCTCTTCATACCTCGAAAACAGCAAAAATTAAACCCCCATGAAAATTAGTGATTTCACAGTATCCAATGAAAAAAATGTGGAATATGGATCCTAATTTTATTGTTGTTATTGGTTTGTTTTCCTCTGTAGCCAGTAAAGGGTTCTGGGCTGTGTTGTTATAGGAGACTTTTACTACAATGTATTGTTGTTATTGATTTCTTTTCTCTTCTAGCCAGTAAAGGGTTCTGGGCTGAGATGTTGGGAGTGGGAGATTTTTACTATGAGTTGGGAGTACAGATTATTGAAGTGTGTATGGCAACCAACCACAGGAATGGAGGTAAATAACGGGGGACTTATGGTTACATTTGCCTTCAAAAATATGGCTTTAATTCATAAGCTTGACTTCAAGCCTCAACAATTAAACAAATATTGCTGAAAGTATTATGTTTAAAAAAGTTATGGGTAAGCTAGAAGAGATTTTGTTTATCAACATATTTATCTGTCAGAAAGATGATTCAGATAGGCATTTTGGTCCTTTTACCTCGTGTTTAAACTTCATGATTTTGTAAGAAAATCTGTAAATGTTGTACCTATTTTCCCATGTGACCTCAACAATACTGTATACAGGGTTATTTTCGTTCCGTGTTATTTTCGCCCTTTTACACTTGCTAACATTTTTGCCCCATTTTAAATTCACCCAGTCACAGTTTTATTTAAGAATTTATATTAATATGTTCTTTGAATTCGCCCTGTATTAAATTCGCCCACTAGTGACAAGGACAAAGGGGTGAAAATAAAATAGGGGCGAAAATACTGTATACATTATTTAAAATTACCACAATTCAATGTGAGTACTGGATTGACTTTAATTGACTTTGCTGTAACAGGATTAATCAGTATAGAGGAACTAAGGGACAAAGTGACGGCCTCCAGGGGAAAGAAAAGTCAGCCCATTAGTATGTGAGTACTGTTCTTATCAGTTTTATTGCCCATTATTTGGCAAAAATGAGGGACATTTAAAGATCTCATTTGTCTGTCCGTCCATGCAATTTTCTTCATGTGGATTGAACAGAAAATATTATTCTGCGGAATTATGTGCCCATCGTGAAAAGTGTGTTTTCACTGTTTGTAAGGGAGATGTGAACTGGATGACTTTGACATTTTCTTTTTACAATATTGCAGAAATTTTTTTTTAAAAATTATTGGCATACCTTTTGAGATGGAAAAACACTAAGCTTTATACCTTCTAAAGAAACCCACAATATGGTATACTGTACCTGTACATAAATTGGCGAATTCAAATTTTAGCGAAATCAGTGGATATTGAGTTGTTGGCACATTCATGAATTAGCGCTAAATACTAACCACCATATATTTTATTTATAAATGATTTCTTAGCGGTATTCATGAATTAGCGCATCGCTTACTGCGCTAAAGCTGCTAAAATATGAAGCCCGCTTTTTTTTTAAGTACACATACAGTATTTAAAGTGCTAACCACAATATCCTTTTATATGTAGAAATTTTTCATGGACCCTTAGATTTCAAGGTAATAGGTTTAACTGTAAATGACAAACTTTTTATGTTATTCTGTGTGTTACAGAGATGATCTCCTGCGTGCAATAAAGAAACTGAAGATTCTGGGTAATGGATTCACGGTGATAGCCCTAGGGAAGAGTTATATGGTACAGAGTGTACCAGGGGAGCTAACTATGGACCACACCAAACTACTGCAAGAAGCTCAGGTATTTAAGTGAATGTTTTATAAAATGTCAAAGTCCAGGGACAGATCCAGCAATACATCTCTCTCCACTCAGCAAAAAATAAGGGGGGCTCAAACCCCCGGAATCCCCCCTCCCCTGCTGGATCCCCCAATGAAGAATATGGAGAAAGATACCTTCCTCTATAAATCAAACCAAATGTTGTTTCATATGGAGTTCATAGCCATTCTCTCTTGTACAGAGCAGCATGATTAATTTTTATACCCCCGCAAACGAAGTTTAGGGGGGTATATTGGAATCAGCATGTCCGTCTGTCTGTCCGTCCATCTGTAGTCAAGATTTTGTCCGGACCGTTTCTCAGAAACTATTGGATGGATTTGTCTGAAAATTTGTACACTTATTATTCACCATATGAAGTTGTGCACCTGGTATTTTCATTATGATTGGGTAATTTTTCTGCATTTTACAGGTGTTTTTTCTTTTTTATTTTATTTCTTGTTTGGCTCATAACTAGAAAACTATTAGACTGACAATCATCAAACTTGGACAGTTTATGCATCTTGGGTAGAAGGTGTGTCACGACCTATATTAAGGTCACTGTGACCTTAATTTAAGTGAAATTTTAAAAAGAAACCTGTCTTTTACTACTGAATTACACAATCCCAAAAATGTAAGAGTGTTTCTGTATCCCTGTTTAAAAAATGTTAAATTAAGAAAATATTTTTTCATTATATACTTTACAGCAATCCATATCAAATGTTATTTTATAAGAGATAATCTACCTCTCCCAAGGGTATAATTCTCAAGCACTGGTCAAGGAGAATTTTGATAACAGAAAATTGCATCCCTTGGCATTTATCAGTGGACATGCATCCAGTCAAAGATTAATTAATGAGTTCAATGTAGGAAAGCTAGCTGTCTCAATCATTTCTGTTAGCTGTTATCTGTGATTAAGGTCCTTTAGGAATTAGACAGAGGAACTGCTGGTCAGTTTAAGTAGCATATGTCATTTGATGGCCAGCCTTCTATTTCTAAAATCAATTTGTTATAGATTAAGTTTTTAATACTACTTAGTTAAATTAATATATTTTTTTAAAAAAATTAAAATATCAAGTGACAAATTTCAGAGCATCATGTCCCACATGAAAGGTATATGCATATGTGTTTGTTTGTGGGGGAGGAGCATTTGTCAAGCTAAAATGCAACCATTTGATGATTATTTGTTATAATTAATGCTTACACCACAGGAGATGTGAAAACAAATATCAAAAGGAATAAAAAAAACTATGGAAATCCTTTTGAAGGTTGCCATGATCTCCTCACACTCTAAACTGTTTATATTAATTGAATGAACAATATTTGACTGGAGTATCATGCTGTGTTGGGCACTTTATTATTTTTAAAATGAATTTGATATAAAGTTAGAAAGATTAATTTGATTCTGTATAATATTTCTTTTTTCAACAATTATTTTTCAGAGTAGCATGACAAATAATTGCAATTTCTTTTTTTAATGAAATTTAAAAAAAAAACTGTTACAGTGTATTAGTATTGATGTTTTATTTGGTTGCACCTTAGATTCATAAATTGAAAAATTAATGAGCATGCAATTATATTTTCACCCGATTTGTTTTAAGACAATAGTGAACACCTCTTAATAGATCCATAAAATATTTGTGAATTGGCACCTACTCTGTAAAAACACAGCAGGGGTATTTGTCCGTATTGGACAGTTCTAGTTTTTTTTTATTTATAATGAAAATGTCGAGAAAATGCATGAAATAAGATTTGATGTTATGTTCTTTCTGTTCTCTATCATATTCCTTAATATGTTCTTTTTTTGGTCTTTGTAGAATGAGGGATTTGTGTCCAAGAAATCTCTGATGTCTTCTTTGAAGTGGGAAGAGGAACGTGCTTCCAGAGCCTTGGTATGAAAAAAAATAAATAAATACAAGTTTTCTATAGAATGATTTTAATTCAAAGGATCAATGTTTGTTAGCAGCTTAAGTTTTACTCATCCATTGGGAAATAATTATGTGGGTAGCTCACATCTACGAAAAATGCAATAAACCATTGATCAAATTATTTTTTGTGGGGATATACCTAATTCGTGGTTATGGATGACCCCTGGAATCCATGAGGTCCCCATGAACAATTATCATCAATCAATATCAATGAAATCAATTGATTATCAATATTATCGTGATTTTATGTATGATCTGTCTGTGTTTTAGGAGTACATGGTGAAGGAAGGCCTGGCTTGGGTAGATGACCAAGCCTCGGACGGCAGACAATACTGGTTTCCGAGTTTCTTCCCAGAAATCTCCTCTGTCACATGACACCATTTTGCAGTCTTAGACAAATATTATAAATATTAACTTGTATCTTGTACATGTTTGGTGCATTGTGTGCAGAGTTTGTCAGAAGAGAATCTGTTTTACTTTATTTATTTCTGTGAATTGAAGATCTATCTGCAGTTCTTTTATTTGTAACAGAATATAACTGAAGTGTGGTACAGTCCTATAAAATCTTCAGAGGATGACTAAACTTTCAACATTTTTTTCAGTTTGAAAGCTTTATATGTTACAGTATACACAATAAAGTTTCTAATGTTATGAAATTGTTTTATTCACAATGTTAATTGTATCAACATTATATGTGTTGAAAAAACTTAAAATAAAGACAACCGAAAAATTACAGATTGCTCTCTTATAGGTTAGTTAATTTTGTTGATTTATACATTTATTGATGGGCTTGTGGTTGACTGGTAAAGTTTCATACTCATGTGTGTCTCTTGTTTTAATCAATTATTGATTAGAAGTTCAGAATCAAAGGTTTGTCTCTAGGAAGTAAGGATAAAATTCAAATCACTTTTGATCTCGGGCTCACTTTTTCCAAAGGAATTAATAGAGGTCTGAGATCAAAAGTGAGCTCGTCTAAGTTTTATGGCCCCCAGGCCTGATACTACGACTCAAGAGCAACGCACTAACCATTGCACTATGGGGGCGACATGTAGACATAATATGATTTGATGTAACCTTTATAATTCAATAAAAGACGAAATTTTGAAGTAAGTTACTATTTTATATGCATACTCCTAAGTCAAAACTGCTTTGCTTAGAAAGTTTATTTTAAAGTTGTGTACACTTGCAGTTGTCTCTTCTACCAATGGCATTATTTCCTGTAAAAGAAAGAGAATGAAATCTCAAAGAAGTTACCTCATGGCTTAATATTTTTTACACGTTTTTAAACCTATAGTATAAATAATAACATGTGCTATTATTATACTATGGATTAAAAAAATTATTTCCGAAACAAGTTGCCTATGCCCATTGATCATGCAGGAAGTTTGCCCTTTTTGACAACATTTTTGGGGGGTTGGGTTTCAAATACTTTTTAGCTCACCTGAGCCGAAGGCTCAAGTGAGCTTTTCTGATCACATTTTGTCCGGCGTCCGTCTGTCCGTCTGTCTGTCTGTCCGTAAACTTTTCACATTTTCGACTTCTTCTCAAGAACCGCTGGGCCAATTTCAACCAAACTTGCCACAAAGCATCCTTGGGTAAAGGGGATTCAAGTTTGTTCAAATAAAGGGCCACGCCCTTTTCCAAGGGGAGATAATTATGAATTAGAGAAAAATTAATGGCATTTTTAAAAAAATCTTCTTCTCAAGAACCACTGGGCCAGGAAAGATGAAACTCATGTGGAATCATCCTCAGGTAGTGTAGATTCAAGATTGTTCAAATCATGACCCCCGGGCCTAGGGTGGGGCCAAAATGGCCGACCCAAGTTTTACATAGGAATATATAGGAAAAATCTTTAAAAATCTTCTTCTCAAGAACCACTGGGCCAGGAAAGATGAAACTCATGTGGAATCATCCTCAGGTAGTGTAGATTCAAGTTTGTTCAAATCATGACCCCCGGGCCTAGGGTGGGGCCAAAATGGCCGACCCAAGTTTTACATAGGAATATATAGGAAAAATCTTTAAAAATCTTCTTCTCAAGAAACACTGGGCCAGGAAAGATGAAACTCATATGGAATCATCCTCAGGTAGTGTAGATTCAAGTTTGTACAAATCATGACCCCCGGGCCTAGGGTGGGGCAAAATGGCCGACCCAAGTTTTATATAGGAATATATAGGAAAAATCTTTAAAAATCTTCTTCTCAAGAACCACTGGGCCAGGAAAGATGAAACTCATGTGGAATCATCCTCAGGTAGTGTAGATTCAAGTTTGTTCAAATCATGACCCCCAGGCCTAGGGTGGGGCCAAAATGGCCGACCCAAGTTTTACATAGGAATATATAGGAAAAATCTTTAAAAATCTTCTTCTCAAGAACCACTGGGCCAGGAAAGATGAAACTCATGTGGAATCATCCTCAGGTAGTGTAGATTCAAGTTTGTTCAAATCATGACCCCCGGGCCTAGGGTGGGGCCAAAATGGCCGACCCAAGTTTTACATAGGGATTTATAGGGAAACCTTTTAAAATCATTTTTTCAAGTACTTCAAAGCTATGATTAGTGATATTAATATGGAATCAGCTTCAGGTTGTGTAGATTCTAGTTTGTTCAAATCATGAACCCCTAGGGGGGGTTAAAATTTACCCCCCCCCAATAAACTTTCAGTTCTGATCTGATTTATTATGTGCTTTTTCCTAGCCAATGTGCTCAGGTGAGCGCTGTTGCCCCTGGGCCTCTTGTTAATGTGCTTACGATTGTTTTACTGAAAAGAATAACAAAGGGGGCTAACTCGGGCTCCTTACATAAAGAATATAAAGGTACATAAGTACGCAAGCCATTAAACCTAATGAAAACTACAAAAGGGGTAAAAGTACTAGTATCTAGTAAAACATATATGGTGAAATATATTTTACTGGAGTAAAAGTGGAGTAAAAGTCATGCTCGGAAGTAGAAAATAATTGACACCCAATACAAAAGACTACATCATCTACACAATTAAAATACAAACATATACTTTGAATGACTATTACCTGATTTGATTAACAGTTGGCTACGTTATGAGCTCTCAGTGTTGGCAGGCTGTCTGTAAATTCAGCTTCTGTTATGCCACCATCAGCTGTCAAAAACAAACAATTTTTTAAAGATTATACATGTATATAAACTTAGTTAGCTCGTTAGTGACGGATCCAGAAATCTTGAAAAAGGAAAAGGGGCCCCCATCCCCACCCCACTCCTGGCACCTCTTAATCCGTCAGTGCACGCACGTAGTATTGATTGTTTTTGAAGAGGCAACCAGAAAGAAATAGACGCATCTTTAAAAAAAAAATTTTGACAAGCAGAGGGAAAAAAAAATTGTCCTCGCTCTAAAAGTTTCGGTTAAGGTGGTGTAATGTTGGGGGTTGTTTCGATCCAACTTCTATTCAAAACCCATTTTTCTATTTAATACATAATTACCAAATTTTCATGATTATTATACTAAATGGGTTAAAAATTCATTTCCGAAACAAGTGCCCTCAGAGTTTTATCTTATATACATAATAAGAATGGATTTATTTTTACGAACCATTAGCATCGATTTTGTAGAAAATGGTCTCGCTATATGACCTTGATTTTGGGGTCACATGTTTCTGAAATTCCTCTAGCGTTATGACGCCATCGCTGTTGGCGTCAAATACGTTGAGATTACATGGCAATGTTCCGTCGGATTTTCCTACACCGCCCTGAAAAGAAGATACATTACTGTAATTAATTACATGTACTTGTTAAAACATCTAATTAAGTGAATTACCATTACAAGGATTTTGAAATGTAATTAATTAAATTACATTACTTAACAAATGTTAGTATTTCAATTACAAAATATTATTCAAAAAATTAAAAAAAAAAAAAAGAAAAGACATGAACGTTCCATTATAACCATATCGGTTACATTTTTATTTTTCTGTACATTGCTATTCTCTCTCTCTCTCTCTCTCTCTCTCTCTCTGAAAATAACTCACTCTTCTACACCAAACCCACAGCCATCTTCCGCTACATCTCTTCATCGGTAAATCTTTGGTCTTCATGGCTGCCTCAAGACAAACCACGTACAAAAGTGACACACATAGTAATACCTGACGTTTCATTCTGATCCGAATCTAGCTGTGTTTAAGAAATGTCCTTCGTTAGTACTATACTTGTATATATAGAAGCAAACATTATTATTTGTCCAACTACTAGTATTAGGTAAAGAAATTATGCTACTTATTTCTGCAGATACGTGCACCTTAATGAAGATTATATACATATATATATTTTTAAATCATTTTCAATATTATCTTTCTTTATTATTGAAAATTAAATTTAAATGTTTTACCTTTAGTGCGTCTGGTTGTGGGAATGCTTTTTAGTTTAAGCTTATGCACATTTATATGCATTTTTAAGATAAAGAAATATACAACTCTAATGACAAAGGGTTATTGAAACAATGTTTTACAAGGTTTGTAAATCGAGGAATCTGCAGATAATGGAGTGAAGGGAATATTTAATTTATACGACACTTGCCTCCTAATCCCAGTCCCTGTAATAATCTACCATCATTCACGACACAAGCTGCGCACACTTCATTTTTGAAAATTAAATTTAAAGCTTTTATCTCTATATATAGTGCACTATCAAAGGGAAAATATTTAACTTATACGACACTTGCCTTCCAGTCTCAGTTATTGCAATAATCTACAATCATTCACACGGTACAAGCTGTGCACACCTTTTAATTTATATACATGTACCTGTCTAAAAAAAGAAATGAAATGAAATTAGGGAAACGAACGTGTCACAGCGTTTTCTAATCATAAAATCGGAAAAAAATCGTCTTAATCAGCCACGGATCTAAAGTCAGAGATTTTAAGACTGTAAATTAAAATTGTATTTTGACACTTTGTAAAAATGAATTAAGGAAAAGATTTACCTGTGACCCTACACCCCCCCCCCCCCTTCTTTCCGAAAACATGGACTCTCCTCGATGCAAAAAAAAAATGAATCTCAGGTAAAATGGTCAGGTGAATAATTTGTTTTTATTAAAAAATTATGAAAGAAAAGGTCTTGTATATAAGAAGACAAAAATTAAATAGGTGAATAACAAGCAAATTCAAAGAATTGTGGCCCCCTGCTTTCACTGTCCTTGTGGGTGGGATGTCATTTTTTATGACATATTGTGTCAAATATGAACGCCCTATCATATGTCATTTAGAAATTATCATGCACTGAAGTTGAATTAAAAAAAAAAAATAAATAAGGTCTATTGTGAAGGTCAAGGGGTCAGAAATCATATTATAATCATAATTAATAATTAAATAATAATATATTATATAATATTAATAATTAATAATTAAATCATAATCATAGCATGCGCAGAAAAATCTTGTCACAGGTAATGTACATGTCAAATATGAAAGCCATATCTCTTCTCTATATAAACACTGATGACCCGTATGGTAACATAGATTAATCTTTTCTTTAATGCAAATTCAATATATTATTACCCAAAGTAGGGTCTTCTAACAAGAAATACGATTTTGAAATACGAAATCCCTTGCACCACCTGTTTTAAAAAATTATGGCCAAGGACAAATTGTTGAAAGGTAGGACAAACTCTAAGGTCAAAGGGTCTGAGTTGTTGGTTTCTTAAGAAAGGTCTTGTCACAAGTAATACATATGTAAAAGATGAGAACCCAAAACCCTAACCGTTGAAAAGTTATGGCTAATGTTAAAGTTTTTTAAAAGTAGGTAAAACTCGAGGGTCAAAGTTCTTGGTATCCAATAAAAGGTCTTTGCACAAGAATTACATATGAGAAGTATGAAAGTCCTAGCTCTTATTATTCAAAAGTTATGGCCAAGGTTTTTTTTTCACAAGTACGGAAATCTACAAGGTCAATGTCAGAAAGTCAAAGTTGTTGGTATCCAATGAAAGGTCTTGCCACAAAGAATACATACCGGTATGTGAAATGTAAAAGTATTGATATCTATCGTTCAAAAGTTATGTTCAAGGTTAAAGTTTTTTAAAAAGTAGATCAAACTCCAAGGTCAAAGGATCAAAGTTCTTGATATCAATTGAAAGATCCTGTTACAAGGATATGCTTATATGCAGTAAGAAAGCCCTAGCCCTAACCCTTCAAAAGTTATGGTCAAAGTTTTTTTTTTTTTAAATAGGTCAAACTCCAAAGTCAAAGGGTCAAAGTTCCTTGTATCCAGTGAAACGTCTTCTCACAGGGATTGCATATGTGAAGTATGTAAGCCCTAGCCCTTACCATTCGAAAGTTATGACTAAGGTTAAAGTACGGAAATCGTCAAGGTCATGATCCAATAAAAGGTCTTGCCACAAAGAGTACATATGTGAAATATAAAGTCATAGTACCTACCAATCGAAAGCTATGAAACAAGTAAAAGTTTGGAATTTTTGTGTAGAAGTGGGTCTAACTCCAAGGTCAAGGTCAAAAGGTCAAATTTGGTGGTATCCAAAGAAAATTCTTGTCAGAAGGAATACGCATGTGAAATATGAATGCCACAGCCCCACCAATTCAAAAGTTATGGGCAAGGTTAAAGTTTTTGTGACGGACGGACGGACAGACTGACAGACGGACAGGCGAATTAGAATCAGACGAAAGCGGGGGACGATGTTATGCAGGCCAGGATCAGCTCCCAGATTTTTTTAGAATATACGCTACATAAGCAATAAATATTCCATATTTCAGCTCAATCAAAATATTCTTTGCCCTTGCACTTTTCATGTAAATTTCGAATACTCTTATCGTTCTAGCGATATTCTATATATTCCTTGTCCCTGTGCAGCTCAAATGCTACAAGATGAATTCATATTCAATATACATCGTGTTTGATATATTATTTTCTTTTCATTTTAATGATTAGGTTAAAGAAGATGTTTTTGAGAAACATAGATGCCCCCATATGGCAAGATAGGGAAGGTTAAACTTTCTCAAATGCAGATGAATATGTTGGTACCTAAAGTAAGGCCTTTTCACAAGAAATACAAATGGGAAATAAAACCCTAGCACCACCTGTTCGAAGGTAATGTCCAAGGTGAACGTTTTTAAAGGTAGGACAAACTCTGGGGTCAAGGTCAAAAGGTCAAGGTTGTTAGTTTCTAAAGAAAGGCCTTGTCTCAAAGATTACATATGGGAAGTATGAAAGTGCTGGCCCTTACCGTTCAAAAGTTACGGTCAAGGTTAAAGGTTGTAAAAAGTTGGTCAAACTCCAAGGTCAAAGGGTCAAAATTGTTGATATCCAATAAAAGGTCTTGCCACAAAAAATTGATATTTGAAAAATTAAATTCCTAGTATCTACCGTTTAAAAATTAGGACCATAGCAAAAGTTTGGATTTTTTTGTGTAAAATTTAGTCAAACTCCAAGGTCAGGGTCAAAGGGTCAAGGTTCTTGATATCAAATGAAAGGTATTATCACAAGAATTAAATATGTGAAGCATGACAGCCCTAGTTTGAACCCTTCAAAGGTTATATTATACACACTGGCCCAACCAAGTTCATACTGTGTAAATTGGAAAGCTACTAATTTCATTCCAAAATGAAGTTATAGGAATTTCCTACACCCCAGTAACATTTCTTTGGGTACCACCAAATTAGATTTTTGACCTTGACCTTGCAGTTCCATACAAAAATTCAAAACGTTGACTTTGGCCATAACTTTTGAACGGTAGATATTAGGACTTTCATATTTCAAACATGTATTCTTTGTGTCAAGACCTTTCATTAGATACAACAAACTCGACATTTTTAACTTGGAGATTTCTGTACGTATGAAAAAACTTTGGTAATATTTTGGTAACATTGGTAATAACTTTTGAACGGTAAGGGCTACAGCTTTCATATTTCACAAATGTAATTCTTGTGAGAAGACCTTTTATTAGATAACAAGAACTTTGACCCTTGGCCTTTGAGATTGACCTACTTTTTAAAAACTATAACCTTGGCCATAACTTTTGAAGGGTTAAGGCTAGGGCTTTCAAATCTCACATATTTAATCCTTGTGACAAGATCTTTTTATTGGATATCAAGAACTTTGACCTATTTTTAAAAACTTTGGTAATAACTTTTGAACGGTCAGGGCTAGTGCTTTCTTACTTCACATATGTACGCCTTGTGAGAAGACCTTTCATCAAATTACAAGAACTTTGACCCCTGTGACCTGTTTTACAAAAGAACTTAAGACAAAGACCAAAAACTTATGTTGATAATAAAATTTAATCGGTATTTTACATCTGTAAACCATAGTTAACGCGAAAATCTGTTTTAGAACCGTAAACTATACTTAACACTAAAAAATAATCATTTGCGATTGCAAAACCAAGATTATCTGATAAAAACAGTTTCACGATCTGTAAACTATGGTTTACAACTCTTAACTAAAGTTAATGATCTGATAAATATAGTTTCACGATTTGTGAAACTATGATTAACAACTTTAACGATTGTAAATTAGAGTTTACAGACGTGAATCTTTGTTAATCAACAAAATCTATCGTTAACGTTTTATTACTGACAGATAAACTTATAGATTAGCATTCGTAAACCATTATTAACAGCTGTTAAATACAATGTAAAACTATGTTTAGCTCATTTTTGCAAATTTGGCGTGCCATACTTTTCATACCAAAAGGGGGGTGTCCAAGGTTACATTATTTGGTTGGATATATTTTTTTCAATTCTATTAATTTATCTATTGTTATACCTTTGAAAATTTGTTCCTGTACAAATTTATACGAAAAAAAGTCTAACATTTCTAATGTTTTACTTAGCAGGCATAAAAAAAGAAATCGATGTTGGACCACTGAGTGAGATGTTGGACCGGTCGATGAGATGTTGGACCGCTTACGTCATAGAATGGGCGGAGCTTAATTTCAATTTCATTCGTTGGTTTCGAAACTGAGAGACCTGGGGTACATCAATAAAAAAAAAAATAAAAATGAAAGGTATAACAAAACATTTCTTGTCCATGTTCTCGGGCACAATGCGTTTTGTCGACCCGCGAACCAAACTGTCTGCTTTCGACCTAACGGTCTAAAGCAGACAATTTGGTTCTCGGGTCCGACAAAACGCATGCTGAAATCGAACGAAGTCAATAAACGTACATTGATAACATTTACCGGTAATAACTCTTCGGGGGGGGGGGGGGGGGGGGGGGGGCTCTAGATCCATGCATGTAATTCTGTTGAAATCAACCCAACGATTAATTACTTTTATGTGCTTTTTTGTCTTAATCTATTTTTGATTGGAAGTTCAGAATCAAAGGTTCCTTATTCTGCGACTCCCAGAGCAACGCACTAACCATTGCACTATGCAGGCAACACAAAAAGACATACTAGTATTGTTTTGACAATTGTGATATAACCTTATTAATTCAGTAAAACACAAAATTTTGAAGTCAGAGACAAATGTTTATTAAGTTTCTATTTTATGTACAACACGTGCTTTGAAAATTTATTTTGCAGTTGTGTACTCTTGCAGTTGTCTCTTCTACCAATGGCATTATTCCCTGTAAAAGAGAAAGAAATCTAAAAAAAAAAGTTACCTCATGGTTTAACATATTTTTTACATGTTTAACCCCTCCCCCAAAACACACGCAAAAAAACAAAACAACAAACAAACAAACAAAAGAAATCAAAACTATTGGAACAGCTGTTAGATTTTCCATGTATTTATAGTCCATGTCATGGACACAGACACCTACATGTTGCGGTAATAATTTTTTTAACCCTTAGTATGATAATAACGTGTTATCATTATACTATAGGTTTAAAAAAAATTATTTCCGAAAGAAGTGCCTGTGCCCATGGATCAGGAAGTTTGCCCTTTTTGGCAACATTTTTTTTTGTTGGGTGGGGGGATTTTTTTTAGTGTCAAATACGATTGATTTACGTTTTACTGGAAAGAATAACAAAGTGGGTCTAACTCAGGTTCCTTACTTAAAGAATATAAAAGCTCACAAGTATTAATTAGTAAGCCATTGAACCTAATAAAAATACAAAAGGGGTAAAACATTGTATATGTCCCTATAGCTACATAGCTACAATGTATGAGTTGTTATTGTAAAAAGTACTAGTATATAGTAAAACATGTATGGTTAAATTTATAGTTAACTGCATGGAGTAAAAGTTATACGGAAAAAAGAAAATATTTACATCCATTGAATATTTTCTCCTTTATTTCTTAAGAAACCCCATTGCGTTCATCCCTGCATAAACTACAATAGGCATGTCGCATGTACAGATTTCTTAATCAGTGGCTGTTCCATCAATGGAACATATAAAGACGTTCGCATCATTAATACAATAATTAATCTTTTTAATCCTACTTTAATTGATTATTTAAACAGATATAAATATAAACAATAAAATGTCTTTCTTTGTTTGTTATTACTGGAATGAACGGTCGCAGCTATTGCAGAAAAAATTTACATAACCCGCTTACGCGGGTTATGTATTTTTTCTGCAACAGCTGCTTCCGTTCATTCCAGTAACAACAAACAAAGAAAGCATTTTATTGTTTAAATAATTGACACCCAATACTAAAGACTACACCATGTACAGAATTAAAATACAAACAATTACCTAATTTGATTAACAGTTGGCTACTTTATGAGCCCTCAGTGTTGGCAGGCTGTCTTTAAATTCAGCTTCTGTTATGCCACCATCAGCTGTCGAAAACAAGCAATTTTTCAAGTTTATATAATTTATACAGGCACATCAGTGGCTGATCCAGGAATCTTGAAAGGGGGCACGGGTCCCAGGGCCCCTCTAAATCCGCCAATGCAAGCAGGTAGTATCGTTTTTAAAGAGGCGGAAGAGGCAACCAGAAAGAAATTGACACAAAGTCTAAAAGAACATTTTGACAGGAAGCAGATAAAAAAGGGGTCCTTACTCGAAAATTTTGTATCGGTTAGGGTGGGGTGAGGCTGAGAGTTGTTTATTCAAACATCTATTCAAAACCCAATTTTCTGTTTTAATACTCAGTACCTTAAAAGATTTCCATGATTATTGTGCTATGGGTTAAAAAATTATTTCCATAACACGTGCCCGTGACAGGTACATGTATGTATCAATGAAAGCAGTATTTTTCCGAGTTTTTTCTTGGATACATAATAAGAGTGAATATTTTTTTTACGAACCATCAGCATCGATTTTGAAGAAAATGGTCTCGGTATATGACCTTGATTTTGGGGTCACATGTTTCTGAAATTCCTCTAGTGTTATGACGCCATCCCTGTTTGCATCAAATAAATTGAGATTACATGGCAATGTTCCGTCGGATTTTCCTACACTGCCCTGAAAAGAAAAGACAATTTGTACCCTATGAAATCATATCAGGGAGGGGACAAATTAAATAAGAAAGAAAATAATTAATTGACAAATTTAAACCTTTAAATGAATAACCATTACTGTTACAAGAATTATGAAATCATTTTAACAAATGTTATTATTTCAGTTACAAAATATTATTTAAAAACTTATTAAAAACAAAAAGACATGAACTTTCCAATATATCCATGCATATTGGTTACGTTTTAAACTTTTCTGTACATTCTCTCTCTCTCTCTTTCTCTCTCTCTCTCTCTGAAAATAACTCACTCTTCTACACCAAACCCACAGCCAGTTATCACTACATCTCTTCATCGGCAAGTTTTTTACTTTCTCTGCTGCCTCGAGACACACCACGAAACAAAGGGACACGAAGAGAAGTATTTGAAGTTTCATTCTGATCAAAATGTAGCTATGATTTTAAGAAATATCGTTCGTTACTTTATTTATATACACATGATAATATGTCCAAGTATGAAATAATAGATTAAAAAATTATGCTACTTTTTTATGCAGATACGAGCGCATTGATAAAGATTGTATACTGGTACTAGTATATATATATTTTTAAATTATCCATTTCAATTTTATTAAATTTCTGAAAATTGAAATTAAATTTTTCTTACCTTTAGTGCACGTCCGGTTGGGGAATGCATTTTAGTTTTAGCGTATGCACATTTATATGATTTTCTCCAGATAAAGAAAAATATAACTCTGATGACAAAGGGTTATTGAAACAATGTTTTACAAAGTTTGTAAATGGAGCCATCTGCAGATAATAGGGTGAGGGAGAATAGTTAAACTTAAAATACATTTGATTCCAAATCCCACTTCCAAGAATAATCTACAATCGTTCACTGCACAAGCTGTGCATATACTTCAAAACTGGAATTAAATTTAAAGGTTTTATCTCTAGTACTTAACTTACACGACACTTGCCTTCTAAAATTTATATACATGTGCCTGTCTGAAAAAGGAAATTACATGAACTTGAAAAAACGTGTTACAAAGTTGTCTAATTATAGAATCGGAAAAAATCTTCATCTTCAACCTGGATCTAGAACCAGAGGTGGAGAGGGGGTGTTTAAAAAAAAGGACCCCAATTTTAAGAATTCTTAAATTATAGTATGGTGAAAGAAAAAAAAAGATTTACCTTTTTACCCAACCCCAGACACTCTTCGATGCAGAAAAAATGTAACCCAGGTAAAATTGTCAGATGAATAATTTATGTTTTCAGTAAATAGGAATGAAGGAAAACGATCGACTTGCAAGATGACAAAAACCAAGTAAAGTGGCAAAAAATTACGTACGAGCCTTTTGAGAACTTCTGTAACGGCCATTGTTATACATTATGTATAATTACTAATACTTTTTTCGCATGGAAACATTTTTGGATGAAATAGATTTGACAAAGCTGTTTTAAAAATTGCATTTTCGGCGCTTAATTCATTTTTTCATCTGCAGTTTAGAGTATTCTTAAACTTGTACATGTGCTTAGTTTTATTTTAATTTTAAAAATTTTAAAACTGGAATTAAAGTAAAGAATTTTTAGAGATTTTCATGAATTATAATTGAGTCACCTCAGCCTGACAACATAATACCGTGAAACCTGTTTAATCTGACATGCACCGAGAGGCACATGTTGTGTCGGAATAGACAGGGTGTCGGATTGCATAGTGTAAAACCTTGAAAAATAGCAAAATGGGAAAATTTTCATTTCCTTGTATACTAGTATTTAACGTTGGAATTCACAGTGTGACGGATTGCGCAGGTGGCGGATTGGAGAACTTACACTGTCTATACAAAATATTAAACAGAAAGATAAATCTGATCTTTATATGGCAAGATTGCTTTGTACCAAGTTTGATTGAAATCGGTTCATATAAAACTGAGTGGGAGCATGTATTATGTATAAAGAATTCAACAGAATTCCGGGGTTTTTTGTTTGTATTTTTTTTAACAATTATCAAATAGATTTATCATTAAACTGTGGTGGTGCAAATTTTTTAAAGAAATTTCACATAATCTTCTATTTTTTTTTTTTTTTTATGATGGCAGCACAATGTAAACATTTTTTAAAAATGATTTTAAGGATTAGTTGATTTATTCAAAATAATAGTAATTTTTCGATTTACATGTATTTGTTTGACAATTATTATATCATTCAACGAATTTTATTGTTTATGTACAATAAGTAAAGGATACACTAAAGTTGAACGAACTAGTGTCCAATCCCTTTGTATATAATATATCATACAAAATGTTCAAACCAAACCAGTTATATTGCATTTGAAATACGTATGACCATTTCAGTGACGTTATTTGTTACAATAATTATACGATGTTTTGATTTATCATACCTATAAATACTGATCTTTTTTCATTTCCTTGCATCAAGCATTCCATAAATCAATAGCCTGAAATTGTGTTGAGGATAAACTGGCCGTCTCCCACCACCAGTTTTACCATAGAAATGTTCATTGAAAGTACAGTTGCACTTTGGTTGCAGTATTGTCAAATAACCCTGACGTAACCTCGGATAGTGTAGATTCAAGATTATTCACATCATGACCACAGGGGTAGGGTGGGGCCACAATGGGGACCAGTTTTACATGGAAACAAAGTTATTGCATTATTGACGTGTAAGCATCCTCATGTAGTGAAGATTTAAATTTGTTAAAATCATGACCCCTTGGGGTAGGGAGGGGTCACAATTGGGGATCAAATTTTTTATTAAGTAATATACAGGAAGAAATTTTTTTTTAAAGAAATATTTGTCTTTTTCTCAAGAACAGCAAAGTTATATAAATTGATATGGAGACATCCTCAAGTAGTGAAAAATACAGACTTTTCAATACTGAACTGATATATGCTTTTCCCTAACTAATGTGTTCAGGTGAGCAATGTGGCCCATGGCCTCTTGTTCAAGATATTTTAAACTTCAGGATCAGGTGTAACAAATAATGTTTATTAAAATTGTCCCTGGCACTTCACTATAAGGCTGTTCGACTGAAATCCATCCTTCTGGGTTCCTTACCACTCTGATTGTATAATTATGGAAAAAAAACTCAAAATATAGCTCATTTATTTTGCTATTTGGCCAAACATGGTAAAATGAAATAACATTGACAGTGTTAACATTTATGTAAAACGAGAAGATTAAAAAAAAAAAAGAAATTAAGTAGACAGAGACACAGCCCCTAATATTTGTTAAACACCACAACAGAGATATTTAAACATAGGTCAAGGTTATACATATAAAATGACCTTGACATGAATAATGAAAAAGAACCACCATGTTCACATAGCTTTACATTAATGTGTTTACATTAGCTTATGTTCACATAGCTTTATGTTGTGTGTTTATATTAAGCTATACACCATTTTCTTCAGACTGAAAAAAAATTCTTCACACTGTCCAAAGCTCAGGGCAACTTTATCATGAAACTTTCCAATTACCAAATAAATACAAAATATTCGAATTTTTTTTTAAAAAAAATTTAAAGTACATGTACATACATGTACAATGGATACATGGAATTTTTCATTAAGCAAACACCAGCAGAAAAATCACTTCCACCTGATAATAATGAATGAAGAATTAAACAACAAATACTATTTAAGTTTCAAGAAACAGTGATATCAATATGAAGAGAAATGTATATTTGCTATGTACGAAAAGATGTTTAAAATACATAAATTATCATTACATTGCTTCAATGTCAGGCTAAATACAAAGATATTGATATTACACAGAATCAAAGTCTTCACTATGGCACAACTATATGTCCAAACTGAAAAAAGTTACAGACATCTAATAGAAGAGATATGCACACAAAAGATATCAATATGATATAACCCAATTATCTTCATTTAAAAGTGAATTTACATACTTTTTTAAATCCATAAACGTATCAATTCTGATTAAAAGCCAGTAAAATTAATTATCTTTCACCTTTCATTTCTATGGGAGTAAAAATATAGCCCAATACAATGTTTTTCCCAAAGAAAGTTTCATTGGGACCACATTAAATAATTGTCACTGGGATTAAGTGTGTATTCACAGTAAACTGATAAAGGGGCACTGAATAGTAATAGACATATAAATACATGTATTAAGTTTCACTGAATTACTGATAATATCAGGATCCTGATTTAAAACAACAGAGAAAATTATTTCTGAAATAACCCCTTATTAAAGCTTTCACTATAATACATCTAAGAAAAAAATTATTCTCCATACCTTAAGTTTTTCATTCAATACAACTGAATGACCTTCAACAAAAAAGATTGTGTGAAACTTCATCACATGTACACTGAAGACAAAACAAATATAGCCATTCAAGATGAACAGCTAGCGTACAACAATCATATACATACATGTAAGAAATGGGTCAAACAAACTTCAGCTATTTTGTACTTAAATCTTGTCCAACGACAAATCTTAAAAGTCCAAAATAGACCAATACAGTGTACATACATATGCACTAAAGTTCTATACATTGTAATCCAGTTTATTACAAATAAACAGAGACATTTTGTGCTAAAATACAATAATTATTTTTCCCATAGATAAAACAGATTAACTTTTACATACTGAATAAATAAGATATTCAGATGTATAACACCTAATTATCAAAATCAGACCAAATTCTGATCAAAAAGTTAGTCTGGTAAATTTCAGACACGTCCAATCAAAAAAACAATAATTTTTACTTGACCCCTAATAACCCCATTCTGACCTATTTACATAGTAAACACTAAGCTCTTGATTTACAGAACTCTAGATATTGTTACTATAAATAACACAGATGCGCTTTCTGATTGCTGGTCCCCGGTCAATCTTTTATCGCATGCTTCTCTTCACCGTTTACTAGATGCTGCACCACTTTACCATCTTCTGTAACGGTTATGGTTTCTTTACCATTTTCCACCACCCTGAAATAGCAAGACCAAACTTATTAACAAATGATAATTTTGATTTTTGTTAAGCATCAGTCAATGGACTTAATGACTGTTGACAAGTCCTCAGAATTTATGGATATTTTTTTTTTTATAATTTTATGTAAAATAATATTCAATGGAGTTTGAATACTGCATGAAAACTTCTCTAAGCATTACCTTTCTATGTGAAACTTTGTCATTTAACCATGGAGGTTGATTCAAAATTCGACATAATGATATGATTCATAGATTTTCTGCAAATTGGACTGTATTCCGGTTTCAAAGTGTAATTGACTTACTTTTTGGTCACCACTTTTTTGCCATTAACAAATTTGGTAGAAGTGGAGGTGGATCTAAAGTTTCCCCCACCCCTGGGGCCACTGAAAGATGTACTACTGAAATTGGAGAATCTGTAAAAGAAAAAATATAAACCAATCAGAAACAACAAAAATCAAGATGGAGGCAACCAGGAGAACACTTAGTTGTCCAGATTTTTTGAAATTATTTATCACAATTGAAATGAATCAAAAAGATATATTGGTTGAAGTACAGGGCTACATTCTTAGTAAATATAGAGCCCTGAGATTGGAGATATTAACACCATGATGTGTTTACATCAGAAGACTTCAAATAAGTAGTGGATTTTTTTTTTTCATTTTTGTCAGCTTTTAATTTGGTCTTGTAAGATCTGAATGCATACCATCTTTGCAAGCTAAGGGTAGCTGATCCAAAATCTACTCTACAAGGACTAAATATGCCAAGGGTTGTAAAGTAGATTCGAGATTAGAAAACCCTTGGCTAACAAAGATGAATGCAAACCTGTACACACACGTCAAAGTTTGTTTTCTTTTCTTGGTTTTCTATGAACCTTTGTAGACATGAATTCATGCATTCTAAGGGTTCCTAATGCATCAATGAAATTTGATTTAAGACTACTTTGGTATTCACTTTAAACATCCCAATCTAAGCACATATAAACATCATACAGTGTATGCTGTGAATACACATTCATAAATGTTACCAAGCAGTCACTTAAATGTATTCTCAAAATGTTAAATTTGTAACTATAACAACATGTATTCACCCCTATGAACACTGTTTGGGAAAAAAGGGTGTATTCAAAGATCAGGCAGTTTACCCCCCCCCCCCCCCAACCCCCAACCCCTAAAAATTTTTGTAGAAAGACACAGTCTCAAATGAATATTCAGTTTTTTGCTCGCAAGATTTTTTTGGAAAACTATATTTAAGCAGTAATATAAATATATCTTTAAATGTATCATCCATTCAAGTTTGGTTATGATTATTAACACACTCATGACTCTTTTTTTCATGTTTTACGCCTGTAATTAACTGGAAATATATTTTAACTGAATATACACATGCTTGCACTGGCTGTATATTTACCAGCATATAGTATATTTTGGTATGTTATTACTTAAATTAAAAAAAAAGTTTTAATTTAATAACCTATATGGATTATGCTTTCACAATGGTTAAAAAATCTTTTTGAGGAAAAAAACAAAAGCATGTGTTATCTTTTTGTTCTTTTAACGTACATGATGTGTATTTATAGCAACTTTCATTTCATATTTGGAAAGATTTGTACAAGTTTGGTTATGATGTAACTTGTAATTTCTGAAAATGCTAGCACTGGTTGTAAATATAATACGTACTACTTAAATTTAAAAAAAAAATTTAATCTAATAACCTATACGGATTATGTCACAAGGGCTTTGGTAAAAAACATACCACATTTAAGATTTGTACATTTTCATGCATTGATATTGTTAGGGGAATATTACCTTTATTTTGATAAATATTAATCAAATCATAGGGAAAATATAAATTAAAAAGCTGCCTGGGGTAGGGAAAGTTTGAAGCAGGTATCTTTGGAAAGTATCTGTAAAGCCTTCTTGGACCAAACTTCCATGGATTATGCATTTAGGATTGCACATTACACACCTTAGCAAGATAACATAGGGTTTGTAATGATGTGTTTTTTCTTCACAGTTTATGGATGCAAAAAAGGAATATAGGACCAGGATCTTTCATTAGGGCAAATACGGTAAATGCTGTTAATTAGACACTCAAACACTACAGCATAATAAATACATGTATATGTTATTGTAACAACAATACAGAGTGCACAAAGTCTATATAATATAGTATACACACTGCTTTGTGGAAACACAATGCAAGAATTGGAGAGGATTGAGACCTGTATGCTAATACTGCTTTTTCTATTGGAGGAATATGCTACAAAACTAAATGACCATCAAATTGATTTACTGTTGGAGTAGTACACCAAGTCAGACCAATTTTTATCCTACATTTACATTTTTAAAAAGAAAAATAAGATCTAGATAAACTCATTCACTAAAAATATCCAGCACATCAAATGTTTAAACAAGAGCATGATAATGAAGTTCAGAACACATCTACAGATCTTTATCAATGACTTCAATCATTCCCATTTAAGACAAACATCACATTACACTCCCAAGCAATAATATCACCCCTAAACCTTAGTCCCGATTGGACCATGCCAAAGATGATGAATATTCATGAATTACCCCGGTCTATGATGCATTCCGAAATGGTCATCAAACAGAGAAGATGTAAAGCCAAAACCCATGGGAAATCCAAAGTGATGCAGGGGCGAGTGAACTGTCATGGGATGATGAGCACTCCTAAGTTCTACGTCCCTCGAACGACGGGAATAAGAGGACGGCCTGTCAGTTCTCTCCCTTCTTCTCTGCATGCGCCGTGGACTGTGGAGATAATGACCAATCACAGGCTGGTGCCCAACCCCAGAAAAAAGTGGTTCCCCCATGCATGTTAGTAAAATTTCCCCCAAAATACAATATATACTTTGGAAGCATGCAAAGGAGGGTTTTGTTGTGCCATGCAGGAAACCTAGATGCTACCAAATTTCTGTCATTCCAAAATGAAAATTATCAAAACAAGTCTACCATACAATGATGCATTAGCACTTTTGGCAGGAAAAACCTTACGAATTGCTTTATGTAAATAACAATAGATTAAAAGATCAGAGATCAAAACACTATAATGCTCCTGGCAACAACAAATTCCTACAGCGGAATATTACGTTTTGGTTTTTATGTTTGCCCTTGACTAGATCAGTCTTATTCATTATAGCTGTTAAGGTCAATGATAATGTGTACAATAAAACAACAGGCAAATGGAAAACAAATAGACAGACAAAAACCAATATACCTTTATTACAATGAACAAAAAGCTCTGATTGACTGATATCATACAATTTACCCAAGTCAGTTGCCAAAAATGAAAAAAAAATATTACTCACATCAGAAGGAAAGAAATATAAATGCAGTGTTTTCCCTTTATTTCAAACTAAAGGGTTAGAGATCAATTGTAACAGGCTAGGGGCAGAGGTTTATGAACAGAATCTCTATGGACCTTACAACAAATTTTTATTTCAAAGCGGCATTTTTGTCAATTGAAGTGGTCAATTTTACCAGTAGCCGGTTCTTAGGGAAAACACTGTAAATGGATGATATTTATAATGTTAACTGTGTTAAAAAAAATCTATAAACATATTCAACAAGAACTAGGATGACAAAACTTATGACATGTTTTCAACTAAATTCAAAGCTTACAAACTGAAATGCAACTAACTAGTGCTGTTACTTATACATGCAGAGCTGAAAGTTCCTCTATCAATTATTTAAGCAAGTGCAGTGGACCCATCATTATCCAACAATGATATAAATTATCAAAATATTTAGTAATAATTATTCTCTAATATGTTTCACTTCAAAAAAACCTAGATGAAAATTGCAATGTTACCTGCAATTAAAATTTGTTCAAATTTTGAAGAAAATGTAACCAAAATAAGCAAACTATAGAATTTATTTTAATTTTAAAATTTAATGTTTTTGTCTCTGCAAAAAGGTTTTCTACACGGTCTTCTTCCGAATTGCAGTTTATTGGTTTGATAGATTTTCTAGTAGCAAATACTGAACTAATATCAACTGGCAAGAATAGATGGCACTAATAAGTGTGTGCAAGACAGGAGCAAATTTACAGACAAACAGACAAATGTTATTTGTGCCAATAAAGATTCAGTGTGCAGACGACACAACAAATATTCCAGCCAACAGTTATATCATGTTAAGTAAATACAATAGATCTGCTATAGAACATCATAAATCAAACTCAGAGAAAAGTCTGATTGAGCGAAATAATACAGCTGAACAATCAATAGTTTTAGAGAGGCAATACATGTACTAACAAAGCTAAAGTTTAACATATCAAATGTAATTAATTTTCACAAATATTTTTAATAACTAATACATACAGTAAAACTCGGTTAGTTCGAACACGGATAATGCCAATTCACGGATATAGCGAAGTTATCTTGGATCCCCAGCTGTATAAATTTAACAAATTTCTTATACGGATATAACAAATTATGGATATAGCGAAGTAATTTCATAGGTCCCAGTGACTTCGTTATAACCTAGTTTTACTGTATACATTCTAGTCTCTACAAGTTAGTAGAAGATAAACAAGACTATGTGGAACACATGTGCCGCCTGTAGGAGACAGTGTTTTTGACAGGGTTTTTAGGGAGCAAACATGTGTTGCCTGTAGGAGTCAGTGTTTTGGGATTAGGCCACTGATCCTTCCAGAAAGGACAGACAGAGTGATCCCTAAGTATGCCATTCTATGCAGGTGATAAAAACAACAATTACTTATCCTAAAGTTATCATATTGAATGTATTATCATGTGTTATACCTGTTCTTGCTACTTTATAAAAGCTAGGTTCTAATGAGTATGTCCTTGATGGTTATAAATTCCTTTATATTTAGTACATTAAGTACATGCATGTATCTCTCCTATCAATGTGACAGGATAGAATCTTAATATGAGCAGAATATAACTAAATTTAAATTGAACTTCATGTGTAAAACATTTTGATTTTATAATTTTTTTGATATTGCACAGAGCTTATTTAAACATTACTTCTGCCATCTAATCTTAATACTGTGAATTTTCACAATAAAACTACAATGCCATTGTGTCATGCACTGATTTTGACGTCTCTCTGTTTCCAAAAATGCATTTCTGAACAAACAGAATCATGGGGCTGTCATGATGCAGACAAAAAAAATGAACGAAGAGTCAGGCCAAGGTAAAAAACAAAACAAAAGTTCCCTCCCCTTACTTACCCGCTATCTCCGAAAAAATTATTTCCAAAGAGTCCCATGGAGGGGCGTGTAAAGCCTGGAAAAGAGTCGTGGAAGTTATTGGGATTGTCACGACCTAAAAGTGGAAAATATCCGTTAATAATCAGTACAATATGATAGGCAAACTGCAGCTGAAAGAAAGGAAGGGGGTAAGACAACGGGGGCCAAAAAACATGCACATAATGAAAAATGATTTGATTTGATTTGGAGTCACAAGATCCAAATTGAAGCATGCTCTTAAGGTAGGTCGCGGGTTTGCTTTTGTCATCAATTTTGGTACACAATTTCGACGATCCGAGCGGTTGTTTTGTGCACATTTGATTCTGCCGTCAGTTACGTCACAAAGGCAACGTTACGTTGTTTCCCGTTTAATTCTCTGCAAATGACTTCAAGTCTGTACGAATCAAGTAGATTAATACAGAGTGCATGCTATTGTACGTAAACTTCTTACATGTTTTATAATTAAATTTTAGTCTGAATTCTGATGTGATTATATGTAATTCTTAGGACTAATCAAATACAATACAAAAAGAAAGGAATAATTTATATTGTAAGTGTAATTAAACTGCTAAGAGTCAATCAGTATATATCAGCGTAAAAGTTATGGTTTGCAGAAAGGAAGTTATCATGAGTAAAAATTGCTTAGCGGGAAAATTGAGGGGTTGTATGTGCGCACGTTATTTGAAAATCAGGGGAACATGCGTGTTGCATCATGATTGCCAATCAAAGCCGGGGCGAAAATATGCATATACTTTTCAGGATGGAATCAATCCTCATCACTAAAAACGGGTTAAATTTAATTATATGTATTTTCTTGGGTTTTCATTAGTGTTTGGTTGTTATGTATTTAAATCTCGTGCATTCGCCTTCTTGTTTTGCTGGCTAATAAATTGTGAAATGCAGCTAAAAATCAAATTTATTCAAACACCTGTACTGTAAGACTTATAAGACACTATTAACAATTTACAAGTATAATTTTTTTCTAAGCTCAAAGTGTATAAGGTAAATGCAAGTGTTTTACATTTTGCGTATTAAAATTTGATTCTGATAATTCGAAATTAACAAATGCCTGAGATTTAGGGTCATTTACTATAGCTTGCGATTAATATAGAAAGAACATTGCAGATACCACCCCCCCCCCCCCCCCCGCTTATTTCCTCAGTATCGGGATGTTTTTCTTACCGTTTTCGAATAAAGTGATCAATTTTCTGTGTTATGTCTGAAATCATATTGACCATGAATTTCCTAAAAATACAAGTACTAATATTTTATCACTCGCGTTTGTCTCTGTACGTTAATTCTCATGCACGAGGGATGTTTATACCTTTCATTTTGACTCAATGATCAGAATATGAATGTCACAATACTAATTAAAATAAGTTGCTGGTCATCCTAGTATGTCTCCGCAATAAATTAAATGATGAATAAAATTAAATTTTGTATCTATGTCACCTTTTAAATCTTGCATATTCCAAAAGTCAAGATATTTATACTCGTATACTGTAAGCGGGACGTGACTACGTTCAATAAATGACATTGTAAATAACGCCATAAACGCAACATTTTAGCAGTATAAAAGAAAACTCTGAAATTATTTAGCAAAAAATCTAGCGAGAAGACATATTGATTTTTTTATAGTAATAGTTTTGATTTTATCTCAGCTTCATATTTTGAAATTCCTGACTAATTCGTCTACGTCTTTAAAAAGTTATCCAATCTTTTTAAAAGAAACTATTTTCACAAAATTGGCTTAAAACATCATTTTCCCATACATTTTAATAGTAAAGCGTAAAAAAAAGTACTAACAACAATACCGCGTTTACAGTAATATAGCATTAAAACTACGTAGACAAATTTAATAAAAATTGCAGATAACACGCTGTGAATTCTAAGGAACATTATATAAAATTTTCAGGATATGTTTTCTCGTAAAAATTTTTATGCAGTAAACCCGCGACCTACCTTAATTACTGTCACATTCAAGAGTTACTTACCTTGAATTTTAGGATGCTAACACTAATTTTTGTATTGAAAAGAAAAATACTTAAACACACAAATTTTACCACGTTGCCTCTATCCTTTTTTAAAAAAATTATGCTGTACAATTATTGAGTCTATCATATCTTCCTAACGGCTCTGATAAACTATTTTTCTCAGGAATTTTACCAAAAAATGAAGCAAAAGGATCTCTTCCTCCAAAGAAATCTCTAAACACGTCCTCCGGGTTTCTATGGTGGAAAGGATGGAAGTGATGGAAGGGACTATTAAAGTCGTAGTCATCCTGTACACCCCCGCCGCCACTTAGACCCTCCTTCCCGTATTTGTCATAGATAGCCCTCTGCTCCTCTGGAAATAAAGAATAATTTTTATATGTGTATCAAATACTTCAAGAAAATGTTAAAATCGAGATTCCTATCTAAAAAAATTAAAATAGTTTTCAATTATTTTTTGTTTTCTGCTGAAATATTTATTACATTATCATTTATTCTATACACACTTGCTTTGATTCAAAGACACATTTTTTTTTTTTTAAGTGGTTTATTTGATTTGAGAAAATACTGATGTCCAAGAACTACAATGGTAAAATAATTCACACTTAAAAGGTTAGCAGCCAATGGCAGGATCTTTTTTTTTTACCCTAAAACATGATAATCTTACTGTCGGACAAGACTTCGTAAGCTTCGGAGATTTCTTTAAATCTTTTCTCGGCCTCGTCTTTATTGTCTGGATTTTTATCTGGATGCCATTTCAAAGCCAGCTTTCTGTAGCTGTAATAAAAGCAAAAATGTGCCTATATACTCTTCATGTTAATGATATTTTACTTCTTTAGAGATGTAAATATTTACATTTTCAATGTCTTTGTTTAAGATAAAATTGCAAATAGTTAATGTACTTTATTTCTCCATCAATGTACTGGTTCATCTATAGGTGTTTAAAAAAAAAATCATGTACAGAGCGGAACAAATAGAGACAAGAAGTTGGGCTTGTAGCACATGGATTGGTGGATAATCAATAGCCTTCGGTTTTTGTGCAAATCATTACACAATCCATTATGAATCCTATCCATTGATCACATCATGAAATCAAAAAATTTAAAGACAGTTATTCCTTAAATAAACTTCTATTCGCCTATATTTACCTTGTCTTACTTGCAACAATCATGTGCCTTTAAACGTGATTTCTAAAAATCTGAATCCATACTTCATTTACAATGTGAATTTTTAAATGTTTATTATTGTTTCCCTCTAAATTGTTTTCAATTTTACAGTGAAAAATGGCATCAATAGATTATACTGTAGATTCCTAAATAACCACGTGGAATTAATTATGGAGCAATTTGGAGAGAAGCACTAGATATCATTGAGATGGTGGCCATCTCAAAGGGCCCCGCTTTTAGCAATGAACATGAAAATGTAACAGAGTTCAAAAGGGTTTATTTCGAATGTGTTTGAAAGGGGACAAAAAGTACTACTCCCTGAAAAATAATACAATGAAAAAACTTTTAGAAATGTGTCCTCTATGAAAATTGTTGCATATCCTCTATCATATTAATATGGAAGGACAATCACAAATGTTCCATACCCAGTCAATTTGTTTGAGGCTGCGTGGACTTAAGTTAAGGGAAAGAAATTATGTAGCTAACAAAGGCTTTAAAAAGAGAGGCTATTTTTTTACCTTGACCCTTGACCTAGAAACTTTGTTCAAGGTCACTGCACATTCACTGACCAAACAATTCTGTGAGTGAAGTTTGAGTAACATTAGATTAATAGGAGAGAAGATATGCTCCAAACAAGGAATTTACATATAATTTTGCTATGACCTTAACCTTTCACCTAGAAACATGCTTCAAGATCACTGCACACCCTTTACCCAAAGGCACTCTGTTTGTAAAGTATGGACCAGATTAGGCCAAGGAAAGTGAAAATATGCTCCATATTTTAAAAGAATTTAAAGGAATTTAAAGAGAAAGGCTATTTTTAACCTTGATCCTTGACCTTGAAACTTTGCTCAAGGTCACTGCACATCGGTTACCCAAATGCATTCTGTGGGTGAAGTATGAGCCAGATTGGGTCAAGGAGAGAGAAGATATGCTCCAGACAAGGATTTTTCATATAATTCTACTATGACCTTGACCTTTGACCTAGAAACATGGCTCAATATCACTGCACATTGGTTACCCAAAGGCACTCTGTGAGTGAAGTATGAGCCAGATTGGGTCAAGGAGAGAGAAGATATGCTCCGGACAAGGATTAAGGATTTTTCATATAATTCTACTGTGACCTTGACCTTTGACCTACAAATATGGTTCAAGGTCAATGCACATTGGTTACCCAAAGGCACTCTATGGGTGAAGTATGAGCCAGATTGGGTCAAGGAGAGAGAAAATATGCTCCGAACAAGGACTTTTCATATACTGTAAACCAACTTTTATTCGCGACGACTTTATTTCACGATTTACCGAAAGTAAGGTAGTTCGCGACGACAAATTTTCGCGATCAAGCCTTTTTGGAACTGTTTTAATAGAAAAAGAGACATTAAGGGACCCGTTCGCGGCGAGAAATATTCGCGATGACGAGGGTCTCGCGAACCTCGCGAAAATTTCTCACACGCGAATAAAAGTTGGTTTACAGTATAATTCTATTATGACCTTGACCTTTGACCTAGAAACATGGTTCAAGGTCACTGCACACTGGTTACCCAAAGGCACTATGTGGGTGAAGTAAGAGCCAGTTTGGGTCAAGGAGAGACAAAATATGCTCCGGACAAGAGATCTCAAATGGACATACGGACGGACAGCTAGACTGATCATTGTATGGCGCCCGCGGAGCGGGGCCCTAATAAAATTTGGTGCAGAAATCTATGCAAAATCTCTTGATAAACCATCCTTTTGCAAATTATTCTTCTCGCAATTTGATGCTAAAGAGTCCTTTTGCAATTACAAGTACTAATGAAAAATAAAGTAATATACAGTGGACCTTCAGATATCCGGATGCTTCAGTATCCGGACGATTTTTCATCAGAACGGAATTTTTTAAATGTTATTTTGTCTTCTTTATATGGTGATTCAGCTATCTGGACACTTCACAAATTAACTAGAAACCAAAGTGTCCAGATAAACGAGGCTCCACTGTACAGTATACTGCATCACGAGTACCTTTCCTTTTCTTATTATAGAAGTTTATATACCGTATAACGGGTAATTTTTACTGCTGTAAATTTTTACGAATTTTGGTCAAAAAAGGGGGATTTAAATTTTTACGCGTTAATTTTTTACAAATTGAACATGTCCGTAAAAATTTAAACAATCAGATGTAAAACTCCACATCACTGATTGTTAGCACTTTGAATGCGTTTACGTACAAATAATATGTCCGAAAACCCGATGTAAGAGAGAGAGAGAGAGAGAGAGAGAGATTTATAAAATTATAACATTATAAACAATGCCACAAATTACATTATGTATAATTTTTTCTCCTTTACCTTTATATACATGTACATGAACAATGTACCCTTCATTTATTCATGTTTTATAAAACACAGCACATCACGTGCTCGTCTTGTATTTACCAAAAACAAAGAGAGACAACTCAAACTAGCATCATTGAAGTGAAAGTATTTATATGTACAGTGTATTAAGAAGTCGAAGTTTTATTCAAAGCAAATGAAACAGAAGAAAGTGTCAAAGATTAAAAGCACAAGTATAATTGGAAGACCTGTAATTATTAAGTCATTATCAGAAGTTATGTGTCTCATAAAAATACTAGAAAAAGAGTAACCAGGTAGGTCAAACTGATTAATTAATTGACAATGTTTGTATAATTTATACAAGTTAATTGAGAGTTACCTGTATGATCCCAATTGATGATTGACTTCAAAGTGCTCAAAATACCAACAGTACACTAATTATATAGTCTCCAGGGAGTGAACTTAATGGCAATTAGCATTACTTTGTTGAAAATTTACATGAGCTGTTTAATAAATTATGTGAAATTTTACGTGTTTAAATTCTACGGATTCATAAAACTCGTAAAAATTAGTAAAAATTAGCAGCACGTAAAAAATACCCGTTATACGTACTTATGTACCATTTGGACACAGATGAACATGGGCAGGACCTTATAGTTAGGGCAGGGTGCAAATTATGCAGTAAGTATAGAAATATTATGGCCAATTGCAAGGAACTTACTTACAATACGTTTCGATCATCTTTTTGTCCCCCGCTTGAAAAGTGGGGGATATTAATTTGGGTCTGTCCATCCTTATTTCTGTCTGTCTGTAACGCTTTCCTTTTCACACGATATATCGAGAACCCTTTGAGCTTTTGCAATGAAATTTTGCATAGCAACTCCCTATGGACTGAAGAAGGACCCTATTGAGTTTAAGGTCAAAAGTCAAAGGTCAAGGTCATAAATTTGCAAATTCTGTCTGTTATAACACTTTCGTTTCCGCGCGATATCACGAGAACCCTTTGAGCTTTTGCAATGAAATTTTACATAACAACTCCCTGTGGCCTAAGGAAGACTCCTATTGATTCTGAGGTCAATGATTGAGGATTGATTAATTTAAAAGGGGCAAATTCAAAGACTACTGTATAATTCTTAAACAAAACAGTGACTGGGCAAATTTAAAATGGGGCAAAATTGTTTGGAAGTGTGAAAAGGCAAGGATAAAATGGGGCAAAAATGTTACCCTGTATCAGTATTATTCTGGACCAAAAGTTGATAAGGGTGATTGTAACTAATTCAGCTCAACTACTCTGACCTTGCTATATTAATCACAATAGGTTCGAAACCATCCGACCTACCAAACCCCATAAATATGGTATGAGACTTAGTCAACTACAAGGTGAATATATTATTTCCCTGCTGTATTTTATGAAATCCTGTACTTTCTGGCATTTCTGAAGATCACAGCTCACTAATTGGAAGTGATTCAAGCCCTATAGATATATAGAACAGATGTGTTGATGTAAACTTTGCACTCACAGAACCAGGACACAGACTTCATGATTCTTCTGGTCATTAATTTGAAAATCTCTGAGTCATTAAAGGGCTATTTGTATTAAGTTTACTGTGTATATATATCTCTGCCAATCCTTTTTATGATTTTCATCAATGGAATCAGTTACTTAGTCTCTCTTTTCTATTCCATCAGGAGGAAAACACTTACAGAGATTTTCCTATAAATAATGTCAAGAGGGTTAAACTCCTTAACACAAAGGCATAAAGGAAAATTGAAAAGATGAAGAGATAAAACAGTTGCTAGGCTTGAGGCTGTATAGGCATTGTAAGGCATATTTTCTGTGATTCATTCATAAAAATTTAAGAATGAGAGATAAAATGTTCTAAAAGTACAGAGGCTGGCTCATATCAAGGGAGGCAACTCCTCAATCCATTTAACAGCATTCTGAAGGTGATACACAATTTTTTGCACTGCTTGATCCAAAAAAGAAAAAAAAAACAACTTGTACTCATTTTTCTTGGAACATTCTATACTGACAAGATTTCTTAACAGACAAATTAAAATCAGAAATTGAGACAGAACTTCATAGAATCAATGTTATGATCGACTGTTGCTATTTATTTACCGTATAAACTATAATCCCTATTAACCGCCCCTGCCCCTATAAGTGCCCCCTTGGTCTTTTTTAATTATCAGGAAATAAGGGCCCCCTGTACAGTGATTAAAATCATTTAGAATTGTTTCAAAAGTCTGCCAAAATTTAAAGAAAGTGAAAATAAAACTTGTCTATTATCCAATTCCTTTGAATTTTATTTATTTTTTTTTCAAAAAATTTTTTGAAGTAAATTCAAGTTAAAATATGACATTAAATATTATAAAGAGAAAACCAAAATAACTGCCCCTTTTCGCAATTTTCTAAGCGCCCGGGACAGTTAATAGGGATTATAGGGTAATTTCTGCAATTGTGTTCATAAATGCAAATGACGGCAAAATACACAATGATTAATACACAGACATATTCCATAATCTTTTTTATTAATTAAAGGATAAGACTTTCCATTTGGCTTTGTACATAAATAATTATTATGATTAATATCATAAATCAAAATTGTGTTGAATATATTTACATCTGACACAAAAAGTGGCAGTGCATGACAAACTTAATCATGTTAACAAGGAATGGTGTTAGGGTGTGACCTAATTTAATCCCCAACAGCCAAAACTAGGTCAGAGTTCAAATCAGAACAATGGACTGTGCATCTTGATGTGAGTTAATTAGTACAAGTGTACTGGGCCTTAGAGATACACAGAAATATTATTGCATAGCCATATTTATGTCTTAATTAATTTGTTTTCATAGGATTGTCACAATAAACATTTGTATATAATACCTTGTAGATAAACAAATACGAATCTATCCTATATCATGAAAATATTAATAGATTGTTAGCATTCTTAATTGAACAACAGGAAATAATTAAAAAACTACAAGTACCATGCACAGATACTTAAAATGCTTGAAGACTCCATTAAAAATGAACCTAACATTGAATTTCAAACACATAACAATTTATTTGGCTTACTTTCAACAGAAAAACACACACTTAATTTAAGCATGCATTACACATGAATTATTATTATACATAATTTTGTATAGTTTTCCAATAATTGGAAACAAACTCCATCCTAACCCTCTTGAAAACAGTAAGAAATGTACTCACGCTTTTTTAACATCTGTTTCTGAGGCGTTCTTGGTGATTTCGAGGACCACATAATAATCCAGTTCCATTTTGATTGTTACACACTGACACACACAGACACCCACTCACACTCTATATACAGGGACCGGGAAGATTAACCTTTTCACAGCCTGTAATGACAGAAACAAAAATTTAACTTTATGTCCTGTAAGTTACAGCACATGTAGTCACTGAAAGTTTAAAACACACTATTTTGATAAATCTGTAAAATTTCTGTATATGTTTGTCAATATTGCAATCTTTATGAAATGAGAGAAAAAGTTTACGTGAAAAGGTGCCATGTTTCCATAATTGTGTTACCTGCAGGTTTATCAGCCAGAGGGCAGGGAATAATATCCCAGCCCATTACTCTGGTACATTCTCCTTCAACTCTATTTAATAGGGGAGCAGTTTTGCCCCCTTCTACTTTTAAATGTCCATGTGATGTAATTTCAATTCTTAGGAAAAATTATGAAAAATTATCAATGACCTTGACCTTCCAAGGTTTTGATTAAAATATATTTTATTTATTAAATTGGATTGAACAGCAGACATAAATGCCTATGATCTTCTCTCCATAGTAAGACCAGTTAACCCGGTTACTTTAAATATTCTTATACAGAATAAATACCAATTAGGAAGTCACTCATTAAAAGATTTAAAGTTTTTTTAAAGACACATATAGTACAGCAATTAAAATAATGAACATACTAATGTCAGACAGTTTAATTTTTTTTAAACAAAACAATTACTCTCTCCCCTTAGAAAATCCTCATTTAAAAAAAAGAAGAGTTAAATATACAGGTACCTGCAAAGTCAGAGACACACAAGAGTACAAACTGAAGTACTAGCTGTCAGTTTTAACATCCAATGAAGCAAACATCAACGTACAACTCTGTCAGCATGACAATTGTCACATAGGATCCGACTACATTAGCCAAAACAATAGTCAGCTAGGACATGATAATCCAATAAGTGTTAAACAATGAATAATCTATCATTAATCCTTTAATTAAGGACTGTCTCTTCCTCATTCAATTAAAAAAAAATTCCTCCACAGAAATATTAAAAAAACAATCCCAAGGCAGTAAAAAAGGAAACCACAGTTTTAAACCTAGGCACTAATTATAGCATTCAGCTCGGATGACACAAGGAAAACAAAATACTTATAAACAAACCGCCTACATCAACAACAAACTATAAGGAACGTGTCACTTCTCATCAGCCTAACGAACGTGTTACCTGTACCACCTGGCCGACGGCCAAACCACCTGATTCTGAGGAATTAACCACCATTGTCTGGAGAGTGGAGACAGTTTAAACTCTCCTGTAACCTTAATATTCACAAGGGAAGTGAAAATTGACCTATTTACCCAGTTTTCATACTATACTATATATTACAGTAATTATTTTCCATTTTCTTCTCTTTGGCTTTATAGTTAAATATCATGAGATCGTCAGAAATGGGCCTGGATCATGAAATGAAATGTTTCTTTTTACAGTTCCTATAAAATAGAAAAGAAAATGCACGTATATCCTATCTGTAACTGCATGAGGCTTATATTGAATTTTTTTTTTTTTTTCTTTGGCAGTCAAAATTATATACTTATTTGTCCTAGTCATGCAAAGAAATGATTACCTGAAACTTTTTATGTTTGAATAGCTATTGGAAATTCCAACTAGGTTAAATGTTAATTTATCCAACTAATGACAGTTTTATTAAAAGTTTCTTTACATGTTGCAGTACATCTATCTACATGTATTTATTCATAAAAGTTATATGACAAATAGGTGATGAACCAAAGATTTAAAAAAAATTCTTATTCAGATTTGAATGTAAACACATGTCATGTGAATTTTTTGACTTTCATTTTGTATGAAGATTAAAAGATGAAAAATTTAACTAATTACACAAGCTCAAGAAGCATTTTGAATAGTGTTTCACAAATTAGATACAGAATTCAGTCAAAATATGTTAGAAAATTATTAACATGACTATTAAACATTTTGCAATGTAAGTAAAATGGATACTTCTAAAACGAAACAACTTGTCATTATAATAATAGAGCTAAAACTGATTTTTCTGCAATCTCAGGCAGAATATAAACATATTCATATTAACTATATTTCAATTTTTAACAAGTGTTTGGTTACCTTATATTAAAAAGTACTACGTACACTATATAATGCCACTTAATAATATGTCACTGCTTGAAATCACTACCAAAAAAAAAACAACCCAATGACACGACTACAATTTTAAAACGAAAATAGATAGCTCAAATCTCCTTCCTGTGAGCTTTAAACAAGTTAAAGGTATAAATTTATCTTACAAGTAAACAAGTCAGGAATACTTGGGGTTTCTATTCATAGAATTCTTAGAATGAGATCAATGACCCAGTTCAAGTTTCAGGTATCTGCGATTACAGTATCATTTTCATAATCCATTGGTTGACAATTTTCTGGACGAGATTGACCGCAGACACTCGTACTATACAATTTGATCTGTTGACGTATTAATGTAGATATAATCATTTATTACCTGCAAGGATCACATTACTGGCTACAATACAATACAAGATTCCCAGAAGAAGGTTACAAATAGTATGGCATGAATTCACTGTAATCTGGGGAAATACCTTGCTCATAAGAAACTCTATGAGACAGAAGCTGCTAGTATGAAGAAGTTCCAAGAGTGCTCAATGAAAACTCAATACTTGTCAAAACCTCTATATTGATCATTTTAACAATATGTTGTTTGTTGATGTATTTTACTCATTTATTAAATTAAATGCTCAATATGCTCATCTAGCACCAAATTTGTATTCTCCATTTTATAACAAATTTATGTTTACTTTTTGAATGTTCATTTTTCTTGAAAACTTTCACCATGCAAGTCAGCCGTGACAAGCTCCTAAATCCTAAATCTATTACCCTACATACAATGAAAACAACATACATGGTATTTTTGTTTCAAATATCAATATGTTAGACCAGATTTATACTCTTAATCAAATCATTGCACTTGATACAGTTACATTTTCAATTCACAAAAAGATCTTGTCGATCATGGCTTCTTTCATAACAAACAAATAAAAAAAAAATTATTAAATAAAATTATTAAAAAATTCCAATAGATTTATCCTTATCTTGATGATAAAAGCAATTAAGAGATCCAAATAAACAAGTTCTACAAATGTAAACAACGTACACACGACTTCAAAAGAGAAATTTAAAAGTGACAGGAGATGAGAATAAGATAGATGATGCTTACTATGTTGTACCATTTGATGGCTCATTGCCTGTAAGTTCACTCACCCCTTGTTAAGATAGGACCCCTCGGGGAGCCTAACGTAAACCTGTGGTGACTCTGAGGGGGAGGAGGATGTATTATTATGTAGGTCATTAACACAAGGGCTCCATAAAACATGCATGTATTTGTATATCTGACTTGCAGTTTGTCTGCTCATATTGTTTGTATGTACATGTACTGATTACCTTACGTTAATCTGGAAATTTTTGCTGTAGATAAATTTTTATTCGCATTTGCATTCGCAAAAATATTTTTCTTAAAAATAACTCAATAATATAAGAAAATGTCATAGTGGTCATTCGCAAAATTTTGAAAGGTAAAAATTAATCAATAGCATTTTGACCCGGATTTGCAAAATATAAACGATGTAAAAATTTCCAGATTTACGGTAATCAATCTCCAAAAACTATATAATTATACTGTAAATCAAATTTTTTTCCTGGGGAATTGAATTTTTGAAGAAATGGCAAACACTTCATTCAAAGTAAAATATTTATATTTATCTATATAGATTAGACACACTTATGTTATATTCAATATAATGTCAGATCGTGGCAAACAGTTAAAAGGTCGATCGTTGTATCGTTGCATTTTGTTGCAAAACTGGAATCAACCAGAATTAACCTTCCTGTGACAACTTATACTTATATATGCTTATAAATGGAGGTTAAAAAATTAGAAAAAAATCTTATAACTGTTGAACACACATGTACTGTAATAGTCATATTGCAATAAAGATAAATTTTTTGTAATACAATTACAATAAGAAATTTTCAAGCCAATATCCAGCCCTAACTGGTATCTATGTATTCGTACAAAGGCTGATTGCCAATTCAACAGTTCCAGATCTATATCCTTTCAATCAATTTTAAGCACCGATATAAAAACGATTCTCCTCCTTCTATAAGCCCCGCGCCAGCCTATACTCCCCCATAGATTCTTCCCCGATAGCATCACCCACCTGTTTTCTTCATTCAGCACCAACAAGCTCTTGTAACAATTCACCTTGCTCCTGAAATATCTCTAAAAACAATTCCACAACACTTTAGATCTACGAGAGGAGCAAATTCCAGAGAACACCTTCCAATTTCCTCCGAGCCTATAATCACATAGTCGTTGTCTGACATCGCGAATACTGAATCATCAGTTGTAATTCACATAGAACAGATTCTGTTCATTTTTGCCATTGCATTATTTTTTTCGTAACTCAAAATAGATAAACCAAAAAAATTTGCAGTTGGTACGTGTTTACAATTATTGCATAACATAAACATGATGAATGACAAGATTTCAAAGGAAGTGATACGAAAAAAAAAAACTCCAGGTATTGCATGTGTTCATAGATTTTTAAATTTCAAAGTAAAATGACTCAGTACCATGTTGTATGATGTACCAGTAACCACAGAGAAATTAAGGTCTTATCAATCATGATGATAGAATCAAGCAGAAACATGTTAACATTTTTTTCTATCCACTTAAATTTATGCCAATCTTTTAGAAAAATTGTCCCATACAACAGTAAATACATGTACATATACATGTATATGAATTCTCTCTATGGAATCGGTTATAAAAATGATATGTATACGATGTACTGTAAAACCCCTTTAATTTGCGAGAACTTCATTTTCAGGAAATTAATCTACCCAAAATGGTCAGATGATTGTGAAAATTTTATTCTCTGCATGCACTTTTATGGTACATGTATATATATTTTTATAAGCCTTAGGAAATATACTGCAAAAACCATAGGATCATTTTTTTTGTATCAGCTATTAATTATGGTTTTACTCATACCAAATCCAATTGTACCAGTATTTCACAAAGTTACAAGTAAGATAATTTAGATATGTGTTCATAGAACTGTATAAGATATGATAGCAAATCATATCAACTTGTAATACCAGTGCCGGAAAATTGATGTATATACATAAAAATATCCATGTATATATCCTGTTATAAAAATACACACAAGACTAAGGCTACATAGTGGTGAAATAGATATATCATTGTAGACATTCATATACCCATGATTATGTACAGATATTGCATATATACTTCTTTCAATCAAAATAAAGATAATCAAGCAACTTACATCATAAGTAAATCCTTATAGAACAAGTTTGGCTTACATCTTCAGCGATAGGGAGAGATATAAACATATATATCTAGGGGGCAACACTGCATTCCTAGGGATCCAAATTTAGAACCAGGCATAGAAAATGAGTCAGCATTAACAAAATTTTCTACAGCAGCTGTAAAGTAGCAAAGGGAGGGGGAGGGCTGTCAATCAATATGAGAGAGAGAGAGAGAGCAAGGGAAGCAGAGGGTTGTCAAAAATGAAAGGAAAAAAAGAGAGAGACTGGGAGTTACAGAAGGTGATTATCAAAAATTGAGAAAGAGAGATAAAGAGAGGGAGGAGAAAGTGTCAGCAGCCTAAACTTGGAAAGATTCACCCACGGGTATTTACTGAGCAATCATTATACCCCCGCTTGAAAAGCGGGAGGGTATATAGTAATCGTTAATTCCGTCCGTCTGTACGTCTGTCCATCTGTTACGCTTTGGGGTACCCATCTCTTATCCGCAACTCCTCTCATTCCACTGAATGAAATTTGATGAAACTTTCACAGAATCTTTATTACATATTGCCATTGTGCACCTCCTATTTTACTTTTTGATCCGACACATATTTTGGGTTTCCCAGCCACAGCAAAACAGTGACTTTGGAATTATAACTATATGGAGGCGGGGGGTATCATTTAGTGAGCTCATCGCTCACAGTACCTCTAGTTTTATTTCAGGGGGGGGTCAATGTTTGTGGGTAAGCAATATTGTTTTGGTTTGTGGAGATGTTATTTGGTAGGCAAGTGGTATATTCAGAAGATTCAATGAATAAATGTATATGACAAAATAATTATTCATGGGGATGTAAATTCTTGGATAAGGATGAACCACATTATCCACGAAAATTGTTCTCACACAAACGATGATTCCACCATAACTATGTCTTTTATAACATATCCCTATCATGTGCAACAGCAAAATTCTTTCACTATAAACAGTTATTTGTACAAGGTACAAAAAATAATAATGAACTGCACTTTGTATATATATTTTAAATAATACACATCCAGCTGAACACTTTTCATGCACCACTGCATTGCCCTCTATGACATGTGCATTTTGCGTTTGACAAATGCATATTAATTATGTTTATAGAGGCATATGCACAGGCCGCAAGGACAACATGCTTGTCTGGATAAACCAGTGCATATATTAATTGTTTAAGGCAAAGGATAATTTGTACAAATTAAATGACTGTCATTATGAACCAGTCCTAGGTAACTACCCCGATATTCCATCTGATAGTACTACCGTACTGTTAGTCTATACAAACTCCATTATGACACATGCATAAATACATAAAACAATCTCTTTCTTTTTTTTCTTTATAAAGAAAAATTATTCATCCCATTCATTTTTTATGTGTTTCATTTTCCTAAATGTGACCAGAAAAGCTTGCTTCAGCCTTTTGACTCAGGTGAAATAAAAATTATGGAATCCTTTTGACTACTTGAAAAATGCATCCTTTTCAGCTTTTTTAGTAATTCAACAGGGAAAAAAATTCAGGAAATACAAAAATGGGATTTTTTTTTATCAATTCCTTATTTCTGGCCTAGCAGCCCTGGATTTTCTCTCACATTCTGCACTGCAGGACATCTCTTGTTTGGAATTGTATTGTAAAAGAATTACCTGCTATCAGAGAAATTCAGAATCATGATCTCAAAATATGGGAAGTCTTCACAGTTTAATTGAGTTAATATTGTAAAGTTCCATAAAATTTTTTAAAATTGAAAAAATACAAGAATCACAAGGTTGGAAATCCCTGCCTACCCAAGGCAGTCTGTTTCTCAGGTGGGCAGGGACAAAACTTCAGTTGCAAGCCCAGCGGTCAGGCGAATTTAAACAGCGAGTTCCCTTTTTTTTTTGTATTATTTTTTGCTATAAAACAGTGTATAGAAAGTCTTTAGGTATTGTTGAGAATTAATTATATCCCCCGCTTTCGTGAAAGGGATTGGGCATTAAATCTCATTTGTCTGTCCATCTATCAGTCAGTATGTCTGTCAGTCTGTCCGACTGTCATAAAAATTAACCTTGGTCATATCTTTTGATTGGGAAAAGATAGGACTTTCATAATATACATGTGTATTACTTCTGACAAGACCTTTCTATATACATTATGATTTTTTATGCCATGACCTTGAAGTTTGACCCATTTTCCAAAATTTAAACATTACTTTAAAATTCAAATTGGCCATAACTTTTGAATGAGAAGAGATAATCTCTTTCATATTATAATATATACATTTGTAGTATCTCTCCATTATATAAACATATAGAGAACAAATATCTTCAATTCTGTATGAAGTTTGTCAGAGGTCAGGGGTTAATACATGACCTAATCACATGGCGCAATAATATCTACCGGTACATCGATATGAAATGACTTGCTCTACATGTATAAAAATGAACAAAATAAGCAAGTAAAATAATAATTATTTTATTTACAATGTAAACAAGTATTTCATACAGTTTTTTGGTTATCGATTTAACCTGTGTACATAGAGAATATATACCGACAGAAACTAGATCTAGCTTTTGTAAGTTTGTTTACAAGTTATATGTCACTTTTGTCAGCTGCACAGTCTCCTAAGTGTATCCTTATTTTTTGGGTAGAACCTAAGTTGAATCTTCATGATAAACTATATTTTTTCATTAAATTCTACTCACAATAAATGTGTAAATCTGTTGGAAAATATCAAAGCATCACAATCACGTCACGAACAGCTGATAAACACCACGGCGTTGTCGTAGTTCAATGTAAGCTATCGCCAGTGTCTCCGTGTTTACATCATAATTATACATTTAGTTATTGAAATTGTAGATTGAATGTTTTTGATCAAATTTAATCCTTGATTGCAAATTAACTGACTCGGTCAAGTTTTTCCATCCATTGGATCCATCCCATCACTTTCAAGCGACCGAAATTCCTCCAACTTTTTTGGGGGGATCATCAGACGTGTTTCTTGTGTCTTTTCAGCATTGATTATCAATTTTCATGAATAGAAATATTCCCAGACAACATTCTTTTCACTAGATCTGATCATAAGTAGCATTTCACAAAATATTCCCTTCGAAATAGAATCCTTCGCCTGATGAATTTGAAGCGTAACCGCCAATCAAGCCGATTTACACCTTGCGTCATTTTTCAAAATCTACGACGTACGGTTAGTGCAATAATTAAAATTCGAAAATATTCAACTGTCTGTCTCAAATGTATATATAAGTAATAAATAACAAGTTTATAAACTTCAATGGGAATTGAAGTGGGTCGGTCACGTGATCAAATCTTCTGAGAAGGCCTTAAAAATTGGATTAGTTTGACCTGCTTTTCAAAAATGTTATTTCTTCCTTATGACTTTTGATTTAGAAGAGATAGGGATTTCATATTTGATATTACCTGTGATGAGATATTTCCATTTTTAGCATGCTATCATTTCTGTCTCCTAAGGTCTTGACCTTCATGTTTAACCTAATCCCCCCCCCCCAAAAAAAAACTCTGGTGATAACTCTTGAATTACATATATAGGGTGTTCATATTTGATATACCATAAATAATGACGTCTCACCAACAAAGACACCGAAAGCAGGGGACCTCAACTCTTCGATTTTGTTTGTTGAAGTACAGTACTATAAATTCTAAAATATGTAAAAGGCCTAAAAATTACACAATGTATAACAGCGAGTGCAGCAAGCAGCACCAAGCGCCACTCGTATCTGCAAGCTATTAAAGCAACTCCTGGGAGAAGAGAAAATTCGAACTTTGTACAATGATCCAAGCAATTTTTTTTCTGCAGAACCTGAGGTCCTAAGCGATCCTTAGCGAAATGCATCTCACCGCAAACAACTTTCCCGCGTTAACAAGAAGATCCAAGAAAAAAATTAACATGCCTTGATTTTAGTGGATAAAAAGCATATAAATAGTAGATTTATATGCAAATTATACATATTATATAAATAGTAGATTAAATTTTGTTTTTTTGTTGTTTTTTTTTAATTCAAATTTACACGGTTTAGACATCGATTTGGTCATACCTATACCTGATAAATTAAAATATTTAAATCTACATTGAAATAAGCTCCTGACCTTATTATTGTGAGCAAGGGTATTCAACTTGAAATTAACTCCAGTAAAATAAAGTTTCTGACAGCTTCGAGCCTTTTGTGGGTATAAAAAAAGGGGTCAAGACAATGGAGATGAAAGGGGAGCTCCGGAGACGCATTTTGCTTCGTCTGTTCATTGTGTATTTTAACATGTTAAATGCTCTATGGAGCAAAGCAAATTATCATAAATATGTATGATAGAAAACTATACCAAAATACTGACTAACAATTCATGCAAATAGAAAATATTGAAGTATTAGAGGAGAAATCTTCCAGATAAAATGAATTACGACTTACCACCATAGATCTGGTTGGTTGCTGTTAGCAACTTGACTGCTCATGTATTTTTTCCCTATCGATAAGCGCCTTGAAGACTACGGGTTTGACTAAGAAAAGTAAAATATGCGTGAAAATAAATTATTTCTAAAAATCAATATCACTGTTTATCTAACCATTCAATCGTTTGTCATGAAAAGGAAATTATCAATTAATTTTAATTTCTTAAACTATAAACCTTTTCCTTTAAGATTTTCACTAAAAAGGATTCTAGTTAGTAGTTTTAAACAAATTTTAAAGACCTTGGGTGGAAACAAACAATATCCTGCCATATAAGGTCTTCATTTATTACTATACAAAATATCCTCAGAATAAAATTATTACATTTTAATTATAGCATGGACATGCGCATGAAGAAATAAATATAACAAAATATTGATATATTTTTTTTTAAATCAAATAATACGTGTACATATAACAAAAATACAAAGTACATTGTAGTTAATATGGCATCGAATACTATTTATTAAATTTTATATCAAATATATTTATTGGATTAATCGAGTATTTTGCACTATTAGTATTTCAATTTTCCGTCTCCTTGCAATTTAGTTTTAATGATAAGAAACACCCTTTTACCGCTAATTAGCAGACCAGCTCTTACCGGAAGTTTGTTACGACGAAAACATCAGCAGCAACAAACTCTGGACTTGACAGTCACTTATCAAGAGTCTTAATGAGTTAAAAAGAAGACGACAGGAGTACGAAGTTTCTGCAGAAAAAAATCCATTATTTCCCCAAAAGCCCGAATACGTGATTTTTGCAATCGATAATAAAACCTCCGAAAACTAAGGGTGTGACTAATATAAGCAAATTATACACGTGTTATAATTATCAACAGCGAGGCTTTGAAGATGTCATTTTTAATGGACTCTTGTTTAATGTTCTTTTCCCAGGTTTTATTTTTTGCTGGTGGATGGGTGTTTTTCTTGAAGCAGCTGTTCAAGGATTATGAAGTTCATCATTCTGTTGTGTTACTGGTCTTTTCAGTCACATTTGCCTTGTCATGTACCATGTTTGAACTGATCATCTTTGAGATTCTTGGATTCCTTGAGGCTAGTTCCAGATATTTCCACTGGAAACTGGGTCTGTATGCCATCCTCTCCGTATTGGTGGCTGTATTACCATTCTACATTGGTTATTTCATCATTGGAAACTTGAGATTCGTTCCACAGAAGCGTCACATTCGTGTTCTACTGACAGCAGGAACTTGGTTGGGATTTCTGTATTTTTTCTGGAAAATTGGTGACCCATTTCCTATACTGAGTCCAAAGCATGGAATCTTTTCAATTGAGCAGTGTATTGGCAGAATCGGAGTCATCGGAGTAACATTAATGGCGGTACTGTCAGGATTTGGTGCCGTGAATTATCCCTATACCTCCATGTTCTGCTTCATAAGGGCGGTAACTGAGGCAGATATCCAGGGCATAGAAAAGAGATTGATGCAAACTATGGATATGATACTGTTGAAGAAAAAGAGAATGGCTCTAGCAAAGCGAGAACGGCTGAAGCAAGCTACCATAAATAAAAGTCAGGGTGGATTATGGGGAATGATATCAAAAGTAACATCAGGCAATTCGTTGGAGAATATTTCAGTGCTGCAACAAGACACTGAGGCTTATGAGGAGCTAGCAAAACAGTTGTTTTTGGAGTCTGTGGATTTACATAACACACAAGAAAGGATCGCATACTCAAAGACATTTAAAGGGAAATATTTCAACTTTTTAGGATACTTCTTTTCCATTTACTGTGTTTGGAAAATATTTATCTCCACCATCAATATTATATTTGATAGAGTCGGTAAAGTTGATCCTGTAACTAGAGGAATAGAGATAGCGATTAATTACCTGGGAATTCAGTTTGACGTTAAATTCTGGTCACAGCAGATCTCATTTCTTCTGATTGGAATCATCATAGTCACTTCAATAAGAGGTTTACTCATTACTTTAACAAGATTTTTCTACGCCATTGCAAGCAGTAAATCATCAAATGTGATCGTACTGTGCCTGGCTCAAATAATGGGGATGTATTTTGTGAGTTCCGTGCTTCTTATTAGAATGAACATGCCACAAGAATACAGGTCAATAATAACGGAGGTACTTGGAGACCTTCAGTTCAACTTTTATCATCGCTGGTTTGATGTCATTTTCCTCGTCAGTGCACTCTCAAGCATTGGATTCCTTTACATTGCACACAAACAAGCCCCAGAAAAGACAATGAATGGATACTAGTGTCCTAGTCAATTAAGATCACTAAAATTAAATAAAGAGGCACAAAAAATAACTGAAGAATTTGATGTCAATTTTTTTTGCATAAATGGAATTTAGAAATGGAAAACCTAAATGGACAAAAACATTTTGAAACAAACTTCTCCTTTTATGTAACGAAGTAATGATTTGCTACGTAGATGCATGTATTTATTTGTGTTAAAATTATCTGATGAATAAAATGAATATTTAAAACAATATGAGTGTCTGAAACACTAATGCCACCACATTGTTTTGGTGAAGGTTAAAGTTTCTCAAATGCAGGTCAAACTCCAAGGTCAAGTGATAAAAACTGTTTTAACTGAAGAAAGGACTTCGTGTATATCTCTGAAATATGAAAGCCCAAGCACAAACTATTCAAAAGTTATGGCCAAGGTTTAATTTTAAATAAAATACAGGTCAAACTCCAAAGTCAAAGATAAGATGCCCAGGGGAGGCAGGCGTGTAGCTGCCTATATGCAAGTGCGTACGCAAGTTGATGAAACAAGAATATCAGCAGTCTTGTTTAAAGTCATCATTTTCGTAAGTTCTATGGTCTATACAATGACCTTGTCCGCAAATACAATTTATCATTGAGTCAAATGCTGACTGACGTTTTTCATACCAATTGTTAGTCCAATATTTATACACTGCATTGACGACGGATTTTCTCTGTTATTTCCTGATCATGACAGGGAGCACACGGCGGGTGGGACCGGTCGGCAGGGGATGCTCACTCCTCCATGGCACCTGATCCCACCTCTGATGTTTCGGGGGTCCGTGTTTGCTCTGCTCTTATTTTGTATTGTTTTATGGATTTTGAGATTGAATACTGTTCGTTATCTATATATCCTTCTTTCAAAAGAAAAAAAAAAGGAAAGAAAAAAGAAAGAGATTTATTCGTAGAAAAAGAGACACTATATCTGTTTCAATTTAATTTGCAGACACTATATCTGTTCAGGGCCGTAACTACCATCGAGGCAACGGAGGCAATTGCCTCCTCTAGATTTTCATTTTTTTTTTGGAAATAAGAAACACAACACAAGCAGCTGGATCAAGATTGATCATTTATTTGTTTGATTATAGCCACCTGAGCATTTTTTCAGCTATCCAGTGAGTGTCACCATTACCTATGCTCGGCGTTCAGGGCCTTTGAGCAGGAAGGGATCTTTATCGTGACACACCTGTTGTGACACAGGACCTCGGTTTTTTCCGTCTCATCCGAGGGACTGTCCCATTCAGTTGCTTCTTACAACACGCCATATAAGTGAAATATTCTTGATCGGGATGTAAAATTATAAACAATCTTACAACACGCAAGGGACGATGAGGACCTACTCTAAGTAACTCAGATCATTACGGGTCCCCATTCAGTCGCCTTTTACGACACACACTCCCCATTCAGTCGCCCCTTACGACACACAGTCTTCATTCAGTCGCCTTTTACGACACACAGTCTTTATTCAGTCGCCTTTTACGACACACAGTCTTCATTCATTCGCCCCTTACGACACACAGTCCCCATTCAGTCGCCTTTTACGACAGGCAAGGGGAACAAAGAGTAGTCAGTGTATGATCCGTCCGTTTGTCTCTCCTAAAATTATATTTTCTGGGCTAGGTTTTTTCCACATAGGAAATTTTGCTATCATCATCAAAATAAATATGCCTCAGGTTGTGAACAAGCAGAATCTTCATTATTGTTGCTCAACCTAATCAACGTTTTGTTACATCGCAATGAATTTCCAGAAATATATATCTTGAATACGAAGTAAAAAAGTAACAGGGACGTGATATCCTTGGGGGATTCCTCTTTATCATTCATATTTCGCAGTCGTGTAATTGTCGCTGAAAAAATCTTAAAAATCAATTGTCACAAAAACAACCATTATCACGGATAACGGAATTGCTTCTTTCCATTTAACAGTTAAGTGTATATCTTAGCAGTAAACATGTCGTTCAAACAGTCATCACTGACGACGTTTTTCAGTAGAAATGACCGCAACAAAGACAAAGAATCTCAGTTGATTCTTCGGCTACGGCAACTAACGTTCAGTCTAAGCAATCGGCATCTGTTTCGCAGATATCGTCGAGCTACAAACTTGACAAAGTTGATCCTATCAAACTATCATTGAACGTTTTGGAACATAAATGGGTACCAGATAAGAAGTTTGAATATCCTCAAAATACTACAGATAGACGCTATAGTAGTAAATGGGAAGATACACGACCGTGGGTACGATATTCGCTTTCAGATGACAGCGCCTTTTGTGCGTATTGCATTGCATTTCCGGCAACAGTATCCGAGAAAAATCCAGAATTCATAACGGTTGGTTTTCGAGACTGGAAAAATGCTAAAGGAGAAACACGAGGTGCATTAGAAAGGCATGCCAAATCCGATTTCCTGAAGAGCGAAATGTTTTTGATGACAGTTAAGGGAGAAAGTATTCCCAGACCGAAAGTATAAGCAAGGCTTATCAGGAAAATGTTCAGCAGTCTAATGTCAGTTATAGATGTTGTTATACACAGAGAAACATTCCTTTTCGCGGTAACTGGTCAAAAGAGCTAGGAAAAGAAGATGGTAAATTCCAATATTTTATTGATTGGAAAGCACAGTTTGATGATGTACTGTACACCTATCTACTGCCAAACATAAATACCTTTCTCCGAAAGTTCAAAACGAATTTTCGTATCTGTGAATTAGAAATACGAGAAGCTATCAGAAATCGGTGTGCAGAGTCGCAATTTTTTAGCATAATGGTCGACGAGACCACAGACGTTGCTGAAAAAGCACAACTGGCTATTTGTGTGAGATATGTAAATAACTAAATATAGAAAAGAATAGCTACCAGGTTAACGAGGACTTTTTGGGATTCGTTGAAGTTGCTCAAACAGACGCAGAAACAGTCTGCAATGGCTTATGCAGTTTTGCACAATCTTGGCGCGGAATGGGGGTTCGACCTGACAAAGTTGCGTGGACAAGGTTATGATGGATGCGCAACGATGTCTAGTGAGGTTTCAGGGGTGCAAAAAAGAATCCTATCCGTACTTTGTTCATTGCAACTCGCACCGCCTGAACTTAGTTATATATAAGGTGGTATCAAGAAACTCTTTCAATACTTGGTAAAATTACATGGTTTATATGTGGCGTGAGCAAACGCAAAGCTATCTTGATGAACGAGGTGAAAGAAGGAAGCAAAGAGAGATTTACCTTCTGAGAAAATGTCCTCTTTGAATCTGAGACAATGCCGAAACCATACGACACCCGATAGTTCAAGGGTCTGTTTCATCAGCGTTTGGAAATCGTGCATTGAGATCTAAAGGCCAGGCTTGATGCTTCATCATGCCGTCTTACTGAAGTTCGATTTCATAGTTTTGCAGTGATTCTGCAATACACTCTTGGATATATATAATTCTGCTACAGTTCTTGCAAATTTTGTATTCGAGATTCGAGCAGATTCGAACATCAAATTCCACGACCTTTATGAAAGAGCCTTTTCGATTGCCCATGAAATTGAAGTTGAACCAACAAAACCCCGAAGCACACAAAGGCAACGACATATACACTAGTCAAATTTAGTCTTTTATATATCTTGTACCGTCATCATTGACATGAAAACCGAGTGTCTGACTTTGAACAAGAGGTCAAATTGCTCTTTTATATAATCCTCAATTTCAAAAAGTAGGTTCATGTTCTTGCCTAGAGATCGTTCTCGGCACTCCGGCGGTTAAAGACAAATAGAGCCACAATGACAGAAGATCGGCTCTGTGGTTTGGCTAATGTCCACCGGAACGATCAGGTCGGCCAGGTAAACGCAGAGTGTGTAATCCGGGAGGAAGCAGTAATCCTGATTTATTCAGACAATATTTAAAATGGGAATTACAAAATTTATTTGATGAATAAATAGGAATAGTGGTAAGCATTTTCAAACTCAAGGAAATGGTCTAAAATTGGGACTTTGATCTTTGGGGGCCACAATCGGCGAAAAAGTTACAAGGAAAATTTTGTTCTGACGATGTCTGTACAGACTTGAACCAAAATGTTCAACTGTTAATCCGCGTAATCCTGATTATCGGACAAATTTTTGATGAAGGAAAGCGATCTAAGGGACTTTGATCTAAAGAAAAAGTTATTCAAGTTTTTTAATTTCGGATCCGTTGAGGTATAATGAATAAATGTCGTTAAACAAAAAAATGGAAAAAATTAAATTACGCTGAAGTAAATAATAATTTACAACATGTATGAATATCTTCTTTAACTGATGTTACCAAGTTTTGAATTATATTAAGCATTCTCACATTGTTTAAGCTATTAGAATATAAAGGTACTCTGTAATCAAAATTTGACACCCCCCTTCAACACCCTCGTTTATTTTTTGAAATATTTTAAACTCCAAAGAAAATTAAAATTATTTCTCTGTTTTATCTTGTCACGCTTGGAATTTTTTTTTCAAGTACTAACATCTCCGTGATTTAATTTGATTAAAGTATCGTTCTCTTCCTGAAGTATCCATAGAAGTATAACTTAGCTAAGCGCTTGCTTGAGGAAAGAGATGTAGCGTGATTTCTTTCCCGGTAAAAATGACTGAAAATTTTCGTAAAATCCACGAGCTTCCGGGGGCTTCGCCCCCTGGGGCCCCACCAGGGCTTCTCCCTGGACTAAATGGGGGCCTTAGGGCGGCCCCCTGACCCCCGACCATTTCATGCTGGCTACGCGCCTGGGAAGGCCATGAAGAAAATGCATGCGAAATATTAGAAAGCTCTTGCACCAACTTTTCGAAGGTTATAGTTTTTCAAAATATGCTGGTATCCAGAGAAAGGCCTTGTCACAAGAAATACACTGGACTTGTGAAATATGAAGGCAGCATCAATTTTTTTTTTCAATGGTTCAAAAGTTATTTCCAACAAAGGTGGATCCAGGGCCGGCGCGCCGGGTGTGCCCCCCCCCCCCCCCGTTTGAAATTTTTGTGTGTAAATTGTAAAAATATAAATGTCCATTATCCTAATATCAAGGGAAAAAAACATCTCTCATTTGTAAGAACTTGTCAGATGACCCCCAGAAGGAGCTTGCCTCTGGGGCTCTCAGTATGTACCCACCAGAAAACCCTGCCTTCTATCCCCCCTCCCAGTTACGAAATTCCTGGATCCGCCACTGTCCAAGATTAAAGATTTCAAACAGTG